AAACAACCCAAATGTCAAATTATTTAATATTTCATAAAACAGTGAAGATTAGACAAAAGTTCATAAGACAAATAAAAGTTTTTGCAGCAGAGCTTAGTTTTTTTTCTTCTCTCCTCTCCCACCCCTCGGATTTATCTGGTGATCCTTTAGAGGGGCCCGACCCTAGGTTGGGAACCACTGGACTAAACTTACTGTATATAAAGCAGTTAAAACTAGCTCCACTTTGAGCATCTAGTGAAGTAAAAGGCTGATGCCTTCCATATTAATAAGCTATTATATAATATATAATACAATATTAGTCAAGGGCCATTTTTCTGCAGATGCAGGATGGGTACTTTTTGACTTTTGATATTTTAAATACATTGAGCTGATAATATTTGATTTTCAATACAGGACTTTTACTTGTGATAGAATATTTTCTTGATACTTAATAAAGTAAAGAATCTGAATTCTTCCACCACTGGGAATTATTCACAATAAGCAATAAAAACAGTTGCTGACAGTAAACACACTCTACAGTGTTGATACTGAGAGCCAAAAACATGAGGACAAAAACAGTGAGAGGAGCATGAGAAGGAGGAAGCACCTGCCTTGTCAATCAGAGGAGATCCAAGAAAAGGAGAAGTCCCTGAAAAGCGTCCCAGCAGGCTGTCACGGATTACGGCCTCACACTTATCGTATCCCTCACACCCAATCCTGCTATACATGTCACCATAGCACCATCATGTTAACATGTAATGTAGGAACATGATAGGACATTTAAGGGCCGAGCTGGGGAGTAATGTACACTGGAATATTACATAGTGATGGCTGACTGTCTAATGTTATGCACAGCGGCCTTAAACACACCCAAAGGTCAGGATACAATACTATTTAAGCACTCTCACTGACAGCAGTAAGCAGCAGGTGTTGAAATTTGTTTTCATGCCTCACATGGAGCATATCTGGTATTATAGAAGCCGGCGCTAAGCAGATAGTTACACTTCATTAAAATTCTTCTTCTAATAGCAGTGAGACTCAGTCTCGTGACAGGCGGTTAGTTCCTATTAGCTTGTATCAATTAAGGCGTGCCAGTAAAGGAAACCCTTCAGACCTGGAGGTTCAACACACCGTGTGACTAATTCCTAGAGGAGGATACCACTGAGTTTCGGCATTCAAACATTATCTGATTCTTTACTGCTTTTCATTGGGTGAACATTAATGACCATCTGTGGTTGCTGTTAACAAGGGAACGAGAAAGATGCATTTTTGACACCCTTTTGATTTGTGATACCAGCAACTTGCAGAGAGCTGATACAGCTAAATATATTTACTCAAGTACCTTACTTAAGCACAATGTTGACGTATGTCTGCTCTGCTACATTTCAGAGGGAATAAAATGTAGTTTTTACTCTTCATTTCTCTCTGATAGGATATCTGATTAGGATTCTCCAAAGTAATGATGATAAAACATGATGCAATTATGATTACAACTAAATGGCCCTCCACAACATTAGAAATGCCCATTACAGTACACCCTGTCTCTTCCAGCCACATTCTCCAAACCCAATCAGCCTTATTCTTTACCTGTAAACCAGCTTCACTCTGACTTTCTGTCTTTCAGCCCAGATCCTGACACTCCTATTTGCTCTGCAATAACCACATTCTCCTCACCATAGACTCTCCACCAATCTCCCCACCTTAACTGAGATGTTAGTTTAGAACAGCCTTGGCAGCAACATCTGTCTTGTCTATAGCACTCGCCATTGTTGTTATTACTGCTCATTATTACCAGCACACCATTTGACAATGCTTGAAAACAGCGTTAGTCCCACCCGTTGTGCTGTGCTACTAATCGTTTTTTATTTTAACCGAGAAACCACTGCTTCATGTCACAATGCCAGACAAATTGGTCAACCCAAACTCTGTGCAGAGAGCAGATTCAAAGGTCTGGACTCAGGCAACAGACCTGTACCTGCCTGACCTCCTGCCTGATTCACAGACTTCTCACAGACTGTGTTTATTTGAGTCCTCCTTCCTCCTGCTGCCCAAATTCACCTCTGTGATAGATGTGCTTGTGGGGTAATCCAATAAAACTATAAAGTTTGAAAGGGGCCATTCGGGCTCACAGGTACTTTTACTTCTGAGTACATTTATTTAAATTCTTACATACTTTTACATAAGACCTTTAACATAAGTTATGTAACAGACTCCTCTCAAGTATTTAATGTTGTTTGTGTTACTGCTCTTACTTAAGCAAAAGATGTGAGTACTTCTTCCACCACTGGATCCATTTTACTGAGAGTGAGCAAAATGTCATGAACACCACCTGACAGCAGGTGTTTCAATATCCAAAAGAGTTGTTTTATGTCTTCTTACCTGGAATTCCTTTTTCCTTTTGATCTTAAGGCGTAAAGACAGAATGAGTTAAACTGTCCTTAAACACAATGTATAGGCTCATACAAAAATATTCTCGTCAGTCATGTGACTCACTAGAAGTTTGTGGTGGTGTCTGTATCGGCAGAGACCCTGTCTCCTGCCTGTATTTTCTTTTTTGCCATAGTCTAGGGCTGCGTCCGCATGGTGAACTCCTGCAAGATTTCATCTTCATGTTTCAAGTGATAATTTTTATCCAAACCATGATCTTTTCCTAACCCTAACTAAGTACTGTACACCTTACCAGACCTTTACTAAAACATTGTCAAACTATAAAACAGCGAGACATGAATGTTTTGAAGCAGCTCTCAAGAATTTTGCAAATCTAGGGATACCCTTGACCTTGCTCAAGTGATGTTAGATTCACAGACAACTTGCTCTTTCTGAAGGACTCTTAAATAGGAACATGTTAATTCCATTCACAAAAGGGATAAATCCAGAATCCTGCTTCTGTACTGTGCATGCACAGTCATGCATGAGAGCCAGGTAAACTTCCAATTGCGGCTGTTCCAGACTTTGTTTAAATGTTAACTCTGAATCACACTCTGGCTCATCACGATTCTTCTTCAGACTCTTGTTCAGACTCTCGTATAGCCTCTCAGTCAATATAACCCCTGCTCAAATTCTCATTCAGACTCCCACACAGTGCGACTCTTGTTCAGACTCTCATTCAACGTAGCTCTTGATCATACACTCATTCAGCATGTCTCTCGTTCAGCATTCACTCCCTGAGCCAAAGAGCAGATGTTTATGAGCACACATCCACTGAGCAAAAGAACATGTAAGAGCTGCTGCTCAGCCAACCTCTCGTTCAGTGAGCTAACCCAGTAGTATAAAAACACACTCACTGAGCTGAGGAAGAACAAGTGAGGCACAGCCGCTGCTCAGCATCACAACGCGCACACCCACTGGGCCAAAGAACAACAGCCAATTTGGACAGAAATCGCAAAAAGTACGGCCATGGTGGCTATTTCACTTGTGTTTGTATGATTGTGGCATGTAACAGAGATGTCTATTTATTAGGCTGAAAAGCAAACAGAGCTTGCTGCTCACACACATCGTAGGTGAACCAAAAGAATCGAAGGAGTCTTTCATTAGTCAGTTTGCAAGTGGCGGGTGAACATCCAGGTTACTCAAAAGAAAAGGTCATCCAAGAGAAGCTTTTGGACCTTGGATAAGGGGAAACAATTCTGCCTTTAAGTGCCTTCTAGCTTTTGCTTAGGTTTGCAAATGTTATAGTTTAAGGTTATTACAAATTCAGACATTTGTTGGATAGTTAATTCCTTCATAATCAATTATAAGATTGCAGACAAACACAAAAACATACACAGAAGGACATGGCAATTTTGTGCACACACAGTATGGATCAATATGGAACTTGTTTGCATGAGACATTAGGTCCATCTTGTGTGCGCAAAATGCTGACAAGATAATGATGTGTTCACAAGCTTTAAAAAAAAATGCTTTTGGACTGCAGGGCCTCTCCAGAAAATAATAATATTTCTAAATATTTCTTTTCCCCAGGTTGCACTGCCTTCTCCCCTTGCATTAGATTATATAATGAAACTGATATAAAAGAAAATATATTCATTTAGTTATCATCAAAACCACAGATAGAAAAGTGCTTTACAGGGGAAAAAACAAATGCCACATTAAGTAAAGAATAGTAAACTATTAAACTAATAAAAAATTAAAAATTTACAGCAGGTCATATGAGAAATAAATTAAACAACTGAAATGTTTAATTACTTTCCAGCAAGATTTAGATTTAAAATTTGCTCTTTTCTTTTAAAGGTCAGTTCGACACATGGGGCTAAAGGCCAAATAGTGACGCTCATTAGAAATGAATCAGTGCTCAATTAAGAGTTACTTGAGACGACTGAAAATGTCAGTAACATCTGCGTGTGGAGACTAGTTACAAGCTGTTATTTTCAAGCACTGACCACACCAGCATTTCAGTACACTTTGCCCCAACTTCTCTGCCAGAGTGCACTTACCGCTGCTGCTGATTGATGGGAGCTGAGATTGATGACAGCTCTCCACTGAGTAGCTGGCTGCCATCTTAAATACTGACTGACCTGCCCACACACACACACACACACACACACACACTCCATTCAGACGCAAACACCTATAGCTTGTGTCAGGGGCAGTTTAAGTTGCAGTTTCAAAACCGAACCGTTCGTTCTTGGGTCGGAGGTCATCATGTTGCTTAGGTGACTAAACACAGCACAAGTACATAGCAGTGTTTTCAAGCACCAAAATCCCTAAATATTCCAGACATGTGGGCACCACCTTAGACTCCCACAGGGCTGCAAAATCATCTTTCCATTCATCTTAATTACTCAAATTACTTTATGTAATTTCACATGAATGTGTTTGTGTTCCTCATGCGCACATGCTCAGTCCATGTGTATGCAAATGAGCATGCATACTTGGGATATACTGGGTATTTGCTTGTCTCCATCTATCTGATCCCTAGAAAGGATCCCGAGTTTCATGTGACAGGACCATCCCTTTGGATAACCGTTACATCCAACCAAAACGTATGCACATCCCCTCCCCTGCACCCCCTCGTACCCCCACCTCATTTGGAAGTCAATAAGAGAGACCCTCCAGAGACGCACAGGCACACTCATCACAAGACCTCTCCGTTTGATGCCAACCAGCGCTGTGAGCACCAAGGGAATCATGCCCGTGCCCAAGAAAGCAGGTAAGGAGCCATCATCACCTGAGTCTCTACGGGGACCTGTGAGGGACAACACACCATATGCTATTAGAGCGACAGCATCACCTGTTTCTCATTTGTCATTGAAAATTATTATTACAACCAGCATTCGCTACTACACTACAATCCTAAATTGGTATATTCCTTGGCAAATATAACAGATAAAGTTAAAAAAATTTGTAATTTCAAGATATAATATATAAAATTTGGCAATAAGTGATATTTTCTGCTTTAAATTGCTCAACACCATGTGACCTCTAAACTCACAGCTCACAATTCAGAGCTTTTTCTCCTTCTCCTCTGCACTGAAATGTATTTGCAAATAATAACTCCTCTTCTAGTGTAAGTATTCAAGCATTGATGGGTTTTTTTAAACTTCAAAATCATGATTATTTGTTTTGTTCTTTTGTTTTTTTCTTTTTGTGCAACGCAATTTGCAAATGTTCAAATTTCAGATCACATCTATAGTCACCATACTCTATTTTAGCCTTTTTTATATTTATACAAAGTGTGTCACCACTGGGGCATACAACTCTTATTTATTGCCTGTCACAGTGTTTTATAATTAATTTATCATGTGTTTCATTTGCTGTTTATTTGATGCGGCTAAGCGCTCATGCTGACCATCCTTTGTACATCAGCACCGCCTGAGACCTCCCTTCTCACCTTGGATTCTGCCAGTTTTGTCATGATCGTAACTCATGTCAGCAAAGTGTATGAACGATCCTCCCCTGTGGAGATTCCTGTTTCTTCTACACATGTGCCATCAATTACCGAGTTCCCCTTTATGCCAACACATCATCTGCAATTTCAGAGCTCGCATTTCCATCTGTCTTTCTCGTTCCCTTCCCCGCGCAACATGGCACACCTGTTTCAGCCCTGTCACTACAGGTATATGAACATCAATTGTCCTCATGCCTCTTCTGGTTATTTCTAATCCATGCTCAGGGTTTCCTATTCCATAATAGCTCACATAGCTCAGACATCCCCCTACTACCCCTTCCAACTCCCAGCCCAAATATTTCTAATCCCTCCTCTGGCAGTCACAGTAATGAAGTGTGAAATGCTGCACAGTAATTCAAGTCCTAAAATGTAAAAGCCCTGGCTGTTTGATCCTTCCATTATGTAACACGCGGCACCCCGTCCTCTGCTCTTTGACATATCCTCAAGGAATCTGCATCTTCAAAAGTTTACTTTGTCACCATAACTGAAAGATAGTCTCATTAGCTAATGTGATTAGCTAATGTTGGTTGCATCAAATACACCAACTGAAAAATTAATGTGGTTAATCTGTGCAGGAGCCCACAGGAGGATTCACATTTTATAGATAAGTCCCTTTTGTTTTCATACAAGCCCTTTTTAAAAGGCTTTTCCTCTTGAATTCTTCCTTTTCCCAGAGTCCGTCATCCATCTGTCTCTCCATGTGTTTTATTTCCTTCCCTTTTCCACCTCACATGTGCGCAGGGCTTCCAGCCAGGGATTCTTGACAGGAACCAGAGGGATGAGCAGGGGCCCACGCCAACTATGCTCATCTCTCTCCCTCCACCTCATCTCACTATCTTCTGATCTTGCTGTCTCAGTGGGATGTTTTGAACCTGATCTGCACAGATAATGTAGCTCTGTCCCACTGCGAGCGGAATCTGGGGCAGGAAAAAAGTCTGAAACGGCCTCCAAAGTAAACAGTTCGCAGAGCCTGCGATGACCTTCGGGCGGAGTCCTGCTGAGCTGTTCACTCCTTTTAACATGTGCTCAGGACAACCACACTCGTGTTTTGTATCTTGTGCCAATCCATACCACAATCCATCTCTTCTCCTCATCCTATTGAAGTTAAACACAAATCCAGCACAGTCATTTGACAGTTCTTACTCAAATTCCAACAGCTTCGTCAAGATATTCTCTGCTTGATTCATGAGGTGTCTTTTTTATGGTCTCTCTGCCCTTAAATATTTCAATGCCTCACACCTCACTCTCACATCGCAGTCTGTCTCCTTCATGTCTCTATTGCTGTGATGTCAAGTCATCAATCTTTTTGACTATCTGTTTATCTCTGTGGGGCTTTCCTGTTGATCCTGCTGGGCGTGGACAGGCAGTCGCTGGGGTTTAACCTCAACGGAGCAGCCGCAGAGCTGGCATATCTCCAATCGCCCACCTCACTGTCTGCCAGCCTGACATCTCACTCCAAGGTTACCCGAGGTGTTCACCTCATTTCCCCCAGGGAAACATCTTATAGATTCGAAGATGGATACATTATACGTCTGTCTTCTAATCTATCTTGAGTAATTCCTCTTAATGCCTGGATGAACTATTCCACAAGGCTTTTCTTTCATCTGTTTCACCTGCTGTGTTCCTTTATCTGTGAGATCAGGAAAGTAGGGGAAGAAAGACGAATGAAGTGATCTGTCACCAGCATCCTTCTGCTCAAAGACGACCTTCACTCTATCCCTCTCTGTCCTGCCAAGTCTGTTCTCTCCTCATGCTTTGTCCATTTGCTGGTCAGACGGACAGTGGTTCAGCAGGCTTGCTGCTAAAGTCTGTAAAGAAACATGGACAATATCCAAACTCAAATCGGCTCTGTAATTAGAACCTAAGCCTCAGTAGGGTCCAATTAATATTCCTGCACGCCCACTCAATTATCAGATTTTCGACATAATGGTCCCCTGTGTAACAATAATACCGTATATATTTAGATTTTTAATTACGGCACAGTAATTTAGACTTGAAAGGAGGAGCCGTGGATCTCTGCCTTAAAAGCCAACTGTTTTTAAAGTTGGCCCTCTCACACATTACACATTAGCCACGCTTCGAAGAACCGCAGGCCGACACGATTCAGGGAAAGCAATGCCACCCCCTCAATCACATTCGATGACTGCAGATGTTATACCAGACTCTAATTTGTCCTCCAATGGTTGTTATGCTGCTGCTGCTGGCATCCCCAGCTGAGGGTCACGCAGGCTGGAGAGGTTATGTTTCCCCAGGCTCAGACATGTCCCAGGATAAACCATCCCACCTGAAAGAGCTGACTCTCCTCTTCAGGCACATGATCACAGATCAACCATGACGCTTAAAAAAAAAAAGGCATTCAGTGGGGTTATTCAGTGCATTTACATTTCTGCTGATGATCCAGTCACACCACATAAAGGCCACACCTTACACACGTAAACGTCTTAACTTTAAAGATCTTCTTTGTTTGGTTTGGTTCTATTTTGTTATAAAGCAATCTACACATAACACACTTGCCCAAGTTCTCAAAAAACAAATCAAAAGACATAAACTCAATCCAAGATGGACATGCAGAACCATAAAACTACAAATAGCAAATAAGACAGTCAAGGTGTCGTGCAAAAAGCTGAAGCATGACACAAAATAAAACCACTGGTGGAATATAACTCAATATATCTACTTAGATACTTAAGTACACTGCTGAGGTACTTGTGCTTGGGTAGTTTCATTTCATACTTATTGTTTCTCCTCCACCTCATTTCAGAGGGAAATATTGTAGCACATAGAGTATATTTACCATTTTCATAACAAATTCAGACTTTACTTATGAAACATATGATGATCTTATGCAATATGATGCACTGTTATAGGTTAGTACAATTCAAATCTGCTCCAGAAATCGACCTTGATCAGCTGAAACAGGGAAATGCTACTTTTACATACAAGGGTGTAGATTTTGTTTCCACACAGGAGGACATGTGAAAATTTCCACCAGAAATTTTGAGCTTCAAACACTTAAATCCTGCATTCTGGTGATTTTTTTTTCACTAGTTTATGCCTTTTCACTCCCCCCCCCCAGAATCTACACCTGTTAGGAAAATGCTTGCTGTAGATGTAGATGTTCAAAGAAAACATATTGGGATGTCAGAGCAGTGCTGCATGTAACTACTTTGATTGGACTATTATCATACAATATTATGGCTTTTCCCAATAATGAAAATGTCATGTAGTGATTGGCTGTGCGGGGTAATCACAGGCCATATCGTTTTTCAAAATCTGATATTTTAAAACAAATTTCTTCTCTTTCTGAGAGGTTGAAAAGCTGTTTTTGCTGATATTTTGTCTTGAGATCATCTGCTTCCACTCTGCCCAAACTGTTACCAATTCCCTGACAGAGCAAACTATAAGCACCTACAGCTATTGTTGCAAGAACAACCCTAAGCCATGTGGCACTGCTGCATGTCACCAGGTCAAGCAAGATTTAAACCCCACAAATCTTTATATAAATTCCAAAAAATCAAATATGTCCAACTGTAGTAAAAGGAAAAGTATATAAAAATATTTTTCTCACTTTATTTGACGCATGTTTTTGATGAGGGCAGGAACAAGCTGATAATATTCTCAAACTAAGAAGGGAAAAGGCTATTTTTCACGTTAAAGGCAACATTCATAAACACTGGTGGTGAAGTAAATGAGTCCTATATTAAGTACAGAATGCCTGTTCTCAGGCCCACTCATGCATTTACTACACAGCCATGAGCTATATGACAATCACACTTTGAAGCGCCCTTATATGGAATCAGACAAATTGAGGCTGTTCTGTCTAATTTTGGCAATAGCCAAGGACACACAATAAAGGCTAATGCGGCGATGTAACAGTCTGATAAGTGAGTAAGAACGATGAGGAGTGGTCAGTGTAAAATCTGAGCAACAGTAACCTGAGCGCAGGCGACTAACTTACGCAGTGGGGGGGGAGACAGATGATGACCTGACTGGCCAGTATTGGATCAGTTTTCTCCGAATATCAGAAGACACAGTGACTCAGAAACCGGAGGAGGAACAGACGAACAGAGATTATACACCATGGCAAACTTGCCCCTCAGTGGTGTGAAGTAACAGCATCACACAGAAATATTCTTAGAATGAGACTCCCTGCTGTCAGAGGCTGTGATGTGTGTCCTCAGATGCATGCGTGCTCCGGCCTCCGGATTCCTTATGTTGAAACCTAAACCTTCATGAATCGGTGCTGAGCCGACATAGCACGCATACTCCTCTGTGTGATCTACTGTATGTTGAGAGTAGCAGGTGATTTACTGTTGATGAATGGCAGTCTGATGAAGGGAGAGGCTACGGGGGGAAAGGACAAGCTTTAAAGGAGCTGGCTGCAGTTTACTTGTCATGCCACCTTGAAGTGTGTTTTTTTTTTTTTGTTAAACATGATAATGTGAGAAGAGTCTGTGAGGAGAGGTCATAAAACATATACTATACATTACTTACAGTGGTGGAAAAAGCACTCTTTTCTTAAAGGGACAGTTCAACCAAAAATCAAAAATACATATTTTTCCTCTTACCTGTAGGGCTATTTTTCAATCTAGATTGTTTTGATGTGAGCTGAGTGTTGGAGATAATGACCACAGAAATGTCTGCCCTCTCTCAAATATAATGAAACCAGATGGCACTCGGCTTGTGGCGCTCGGGCGCTTGTGACCCAGTTACTCAGGATAATCAGCAGACGTTGACGTGAGCCGTTTCATTTAAGAACTATTTTCTTTCCACCAAACTACACCCACCAACCGTATCACTGTGCAGAAGGAAGCATGTATCTATTCATGGATGATAGACTCACGAGGTGTAAGCATTAATGTCGTCCTCTGAGGCTGAGCTATAACATTAGCTTGCTCAGTGGTGCTAGGTGAGCTAGCAGTAGATGCACATTTCTGCGCAGTGATACAGTTGGTGGGCATGTAGTTCAGTGAGAAGAAATAGTTCCTACATAAAACTGCTCACAACAAGCTCTGTGGATTATCTTGAGTAACTGGGTCATGATTTCATGAAAGAGACATTGCTGTTGAGTTTTTCAAATGTAATTTTTTAGCACTTTGAGCACCACAGGTCAAGTGCCATCTAATTCCATTATATTCAAGAGAAAGCAGACATCTCTACAGCCAATATCTCCATCACTCAACAACCCACACCAAAACAATCTAGACTGATAAGCAGCACTACAGGTAAGAGAAAAAAATGTGTCTTTTGAGTTTTGGGGTGAACTGTCCCTTTTAGTAAAAGTAGAAATTATCATAAAAATACTTCATTACAAGTAAATGTCCTGAATTTATAATGTGAATTATCAGTAAAATGTAAGCTACTTAAAATATCAAACTAAAATACTGGTTATGCAGAAACACTCCTTTCAGCATGTTATATTATTAATAATACATTATATTTTTGGATACTGTTGCTTAATGTTGTAAATTATCAATGTGCAGCCATTTTCAGATACTTAATACACAGGTGAGTTTATTCGTACGGCCTGCTACTTATATACTTATATGTTCTGTTTGTAAAATCTTAATCTGTAATGTAACTAAAGCTGTAGGCCTTCAATATTTACCTGTGAAATGATGTGAACTGCAAGTGGAAGTACAAGTGCCTCAAAATTAAACCTACAGTATGTGCAGTACTTGAGTTAATGTTCTTGGTTACGTTCCACAGCTGTATATGTAGAATCTCTTTCTCTGATACATTAAAAACTGCAGTGAAATAACACACTATATTTCTGTTTTGCAGGAGGAAAAAACAGCAATACTGCAGAAGGTAAAGAGCTGCATGATGCGTTGCTGTATGGAAGTCTTTGTAAATCACCAAAGAATAATCAAAACCATTCGCTACACTAAATAGATGGTGAAGTTCAAGTCGTTCAAGTGCGGTCATCCTTTCATGATGAAGCTGAATGCATTTTTCTTCTGAGTCTCTTGTTGTATGTCCTGTTTGTCACCTCAGTGAAGCCGCTGCCATATGAGCCAAATATCCCTGAACCCACCACCAGGGCTGACTTCATGAAACGTAAGGCTTTATGAACCATTTAGGAGCATTATAAATAAATGTCTAATGTACAGGAAAACAATCCAGCTTTGACACAAATTAATGTCATATAATATTAATTCAAGCTACTAATGGAAACTACAGTGTAGAGTCTTTAGTGTGCCATCATAAATATCACAATCTCATTAAGCCATAATGAAATTCATTTAAACAATTTAAAAAAGTAAATATTTAAATTCAGCTTTAAGGCCACAATAAAAAGAATAAGATTAAGGAAACAACTGACTACAAATTGGGAAAGCATTACTCACTTTTAGACAGAATAATTTAATTAAATTTACACATTTAATAAACTTCTTACCAATAACTTGGGTCATTTAAATACGGATTTAATGAGCCCAATTAAATGTCAGTATATATAATGTTCAATATATCTATTCATTAAGCCATTCCATTAACCAGTAAACAAGTCTATGATAATTAGAGGACATACTACAGAAATGTATTTTGGCAAAAACATCTTCCAGGAAATGAATTTTAATTTTAGAATAAACACAACAAGGCAGACTAAAAACAGTGAGAGGATGGGGTCCAGTACAGTGTTTTATAGACTTCTTTCTGCCATTTTAATTTCACAGTTGTAAGTGCAGATATTTATGTCCATGAATAATAAATTAGACATTCTAATAAGACATTTTAAGTTGAGATTCAGTCTCAATGTCTGACACATCACATCCTGTAACTAAGCAAAAGTCACTAATACCACTAATTTATTCAATCCGTTTGGTCAAATTAAGCTTAAAAACAAAATAATGAAGATAAGTTCAGACTGGCTGATTACCCTGCAAATCAGTTGGATGTATTCTGACTTAGAGTAAACTGTGAACAGACATCCTCTCTGCATTAAACTCTTCAGATCTGTATCAGCCTCTTGAACCTATTCAGCTGCTTCTTTACTCTGAAGTCTCCTACTCCCTGTTTGTATTTCTTCTCTCAGACTGGCTCCCGCTCTCTCTGGATGATAAAACTGCACAGAAACTGTTGTGGATTTCAGAGGGTGGGTCTAAGGTGGCCCGTACATCAGATGCCGTCTGCCCATATCCCAACAGGCCTGAGAGATATGAACACTCACCACAGGTAGGCAATAGGGAGTAATCACAGTGTTGTTGTGTTTATTACACATAGACATTTTTTATCTTTATTGCATTTTGTTTATTTTAGGCCACACAAATTAAAATAATACCTTCCTTTAATTTAAATTTAACTTTAGCTGAACACAGTGGACTGCTCTTTTTGCTGTAAACTGTACAGAGAATTTTATGGTTTACGTAATATCCAAGCATGAGGAACTGCTGGTTGTTAGATGTTAGAATCAGTCTCCTTTAGTGGTGGAAAAAATGGAAAAAAGTGGCTACCATTAGAATAATGTAAAAATACTCCATTGCAAGTGGTAACTACCTGTTAAACATGTGTTGTACAATATTTCCCCCTGAAACACTGTATTATTGTACTGAGGTAGAAATATTGGAGTAGAAGTATGAAGTAACCTAAAATGGAAATACCCAAGTAGAACATTTCAAACATGTAGGCTACTTAATTACAGTGCTTGGGTGAAAATATTTTATTTTCCATCACTGCTCTTTTTATACATTTTTGGGGATTCTATTTTATTTTATTTATTCTTTTATATTATTATTATTATTATTATTATTGTTGTTGTTGTTGTTTGTTTTTTAAATCATAATATGGTTTATTGCCAAATGGGTTTTCACATACAGGGAACTTACCTTGTTGTTTGGTGCATACAATACACATATCAAGAGGAAATAAAATTAAATGCAAAATTCAAGAAACATAAAGGATAGAATAGAATATATAAAAAATACTCTAAAATATATACAACTATTTAAAAATGGGATAATATTTGCAATGTGTAGAGAATAGTCCATTATTCATTGGTGTTGCATTATTAATCGGTCTGTTTACTATATATGGCAAGGAAAGGCCATAAACTTTACTTTTTAGAAGATGGAAGAGGAGAATCTTTTGTTTTAAAACTTACTGAAACAATAGCTGCAGATTCACTTCATACTGATCAAGTGATCATTAAATGAACTAGGAACTCTTGTGTTAAACTTTGGACTGCAGCTCGCCTCATTCCCAGCTGCTGTGTGCCTCCTTCCCTCTGCAGGTGCTGTGTAAGGAGGGTCTGATGGGCTTCAGAGGGTACTGGGAGGTGGACTGCGATGGCTGGGTGGTGATCGGGGTGGTCTTGGAGAGCGCACCTCGGAGGGTCCAGGAAGGGCGCGGACCCTGCGGCCTCGGGGAGAACAACGCCTCCTGGGGCGTCGGCTGGTCCGGCTCCTGCTACCAAGTGTGGCACAACAGCGAGAACGTGGACATCGCGCTCCCCGCCTCCACCACCATAGGTGTGTACGTTGACCAGCCCGCAGGCATCATCAAGTTCCTGACGGTAGAGGGTGAGGACGAGAAGGAGGTGCGGCTGATCCACAAGTTCAAAGCAGAGCTCCAGGAGAAGATTTTCCCTGGGTTCTGGGTTGGCACAAATTCGTTCTGCCTTCTTCGGAAAAAGGATCAGTGACACAGCGGAGGGCTGAGGATGAAGAGATGGAGGGGGGTGATGAAGCAGTGTAAATGTTAGGTGTCAGGGGGGAGGTGGTGATGTTTGGGGAACAAGTGTTGGAGTTGTAAAGCAGAACTAAAGCACGTTGTGTTTACTTTCTCTGATTGCATGAAGAAAGCTTATTACATCCAAAGATGGCTGATAACTTTATTTACTATTATTTATCTATTGATGTATTTAATGTAGAATTTTAGGCAAGGTCTTGTCTTAGGTTGTACTTGTATTGTTTTTGTAACACGCAGGACTTTGCATGTACTAGAGTGCTTGTTTAACTTAATAGCCTGCATCTTTTTTATGTGCTGAATGTAGCCAATAAATTCAACTACTGAGTCATAATAACGCTGACATTGCAGTATTTGTGTGTGACTGCATATCAGGTTCACAAATCAGACATTAACTCATTTCAGTCTAGTCTGCAGAGTGCTGAGGCCCTCTAGTGGCCTTTAATAATATTGCATCCTCTCACAAATACACCACGAGTCTTTCTTTTCTCTTGGTGTTGCTCCTTTATTTGAAACAAAATTACTGAACAGAACATTTATTTGTTTTTGAAATGTCAGAGATGGACATTTGTTCCTTGCAAATCATCATCTCTCGCTATCTCTCTCTTTCTCACACGGTCGCTTTCTCATTCATTCGGTCATTTCGATAAGATATCTGGAGCAAAAAAAAACAAAACAAAACAAAAAAACCCCTATAACTCAGTACTGATTTACAATCATTCTATCAGTCAGTCATTCATTGGCAAAAAAATAAAAGTACAAATAGGCATGTTATGAGGAGGTGCTGGTGTCCTCCGCTCACATTTTGAAAAGCCACAAGCTTCATGTTAAGTCAACCATTTCTATGGTTTCTACCCCTTAAAGGAATAGGTTGGTGTTTTTTGTTTTTTTAGTGGGGGGTGGGCAACTTTAACAACTGGCCTGTTGGTCAACTTGGCCTGTAAATAATGGGAGCATAGAGGGAAAACATCCATGTGGTTGTGGGAGATCACCGGCTGTTGTGCTTCATGCTAAACCTTCAGCAGAGCTGACCAATGGAAGGGCCATGAGTAAGAGCTGGGAGATAGTTAGCTTAGCTTAGCATTGGGACTAGATGCAGAGTTGAACAGCTAGCCTGGCTCTCTCTGGAGTTCAAATATACACCTACCAGCCCCTTTAAAGCTCACTAACAAGTTATATTTCTTCTGTTTAACCTGCGCACAAATTGAAATGTAAAACTGACCATACAACAAATTCATTTATTTTAACAGAAGCTACACAGCTATGATAGTCAAACTGTGCAAAGCAGGGCTGGGCAATATATCGATATTGCTATATGAGACTAAACATCGTCTGAGATTTTGGATAAAGGCTGCATTTGTTTAAGTGATTTAGTTTTCTGTACTTACCAGACTGTTGCATTAGTTCTATTATTTGCCTTCACCCACTAAGTCATTATATCTACAGTACTGGTAATTATTTCTCAAAATTTTATTGTGTAAATATTCTGTGATAGCACCAATAGTCAACCTAGCTATACCATCATAGTATCGATACCAAGGTATTCGGTCAAAAATATCATATTTGATTTTCTCCGTATTGCCCAGCACTAGCTCCAAGTACATAACTTTTTTTAAAAAAAGTAGCTACTTTGGGGTATTTTTGGGGCAGTCAATCCAACATCAGAATTACAGTTAGTTTTGTTGGTCTTCCCAGTTTTCTAACATCACTTGAATGCAGCATACAGCCAGAGATGCTGCGTGGATGCATAAACAGTGACAGGAAATAACTAGCTAAAAACACAGTATATAATTTTACCTTCCTGTGCTTGTAATGATTAGACACAAATAATATACCATGCTAATTAGTGAGCTTTAGAGGTGTTCACAGATGCATTTTTGAACTTTGGAGAGAGCCATGCTCGCTGTTTCCATCTGCTTCAAGTTTATGCTAAGCTAAGCTAAGCCAATCATCTTCCAGGTCAAGTGTTCCAGTAAAATTAAAGTATCCCTTAAAGCTAATTTTAGGTCATGTTATAGACGACAGACCAAACTTAGCCATACATCATTTAAGATAGCGTAGCATTTAGCTTTAGCACTACCACACATAATAATAATGCTGATATATCATGCTAAAGCATTAGCGTGCAGCCCTGGAGCCAATGATCAACTAGGTACAGATGGCTGCTCCCAAAACTCTCCTCACTTCACAGGTAATTTCACCAACGGTCAAACTTCCCAAAACCTTTATCAGCACACAAGGTGCGTAACAATTGACAATTAGCCATTAGACTACTATACACCCTGTTTTAGTGTCCTTGTTGGTCAGTGCAGTAGGGCACTACACACGTGTCTTGAGGTCCAATCCTAATGTAGTGTCGCAGGATGTGTAGTCGCTGGTATGGTGACACACTTAGTGACCAGGTGGGAGTATAGTGTTGAAAATGTTATTAGTGTTCATAACAACATTTCTTTTTCCTCAAAGCGTGTGCCGTTAATTTTGGTTAGTGAGAAATAAATGGAGGTACTAGCTTTTACACTGTTTTCACATACTGAACGTCACGTCTGCCAGCAAATCCAGGTCTCCTCACATCATCACAGCCTCACTCTCTTTCTCTATCTCTTTCTCTTTCTCTCCAATCGCCTCACTCTATCTCTCCCTCTCAATGCTTGAGGGAGAAGTCCCCTGTGTTGAGACGGGGCCGAGGCAGGGCTCCAAACATTTCAGTCCCATCGGTGGCTCCAGGGGCCAGCAGGGCCTTCATACTGGCAGCAATGTGCTCCAGGTCAGCACAGCCCACCTGAGAGACAAACGCACACAGGGACTGTACGTTAACATGGCACAGGAGGACAAACAGGACACAACCACTGGCAGGGTTTACATCAAAGCAGCTGTATATAGGAGGTGTTAAAAAGAAACAAGTGGACAGGAAGTGATAAATTTAGTAAAGATATCCTCTGTCTGTTTTCATTCTCTTCGAAAATGCTGTTTGACATTCTGAAAAGTTATTTGTCAAATATTTGCCTTGCACGACCCCACAGAATTGTCTCACACACTTTTACGGTCACATGAACTAATGGAGCCAACGTAGTCATTAGCTGGCACATCAGAATACTGAGAACTGAATCGTTCCTTTGTTTTGGTCTTCAGACAGTGTGAAATATGTTGACTGACAACAAAAAACAAAAGACAACAAGATGCTTGATTACCAAGCCATTCATTATCTCTATTTTTTCTTTTGATTTTAAATCAGGCTGTTGGAAACTGGTTACACATCATAAACTCCTTCAGTGAGCTGACTGGTAACTTCTAAATTTAACCAGCCCTGGAGTAGGTTAGCCACACAGAATAGGTTCCTATGGTGATCTATCTCAGTTTAAAGTAAGACACATTCATGCTATCTGAAAACTTGAGCTGAAACCTAAGACAGTGGGATAACCAACTTGTCTCCCTTGCTTGCAAACCAGCAGCTCTGCTCTTTTGTACACTGATTTGTGCTCACCCGCTCTCCACTGTTGCTGTCTCCTTGAGCTCTGTTTCCTCTGCAGCCCCACACAGGCACAGTTACAGGCAGCGAGCGGGCCAGAGCCATGGAATGGGCATGACGAGACGAGTACACAGCATGACCCATGGCCATGCCGCGTGTCGGTGGAGGAGCATCCTCACTCAGAGAGCCTAGAGCGGGTAGAAAATGTATGTGGATGATGCAGTGATGTGGATCTGACACCATATTGGACTACTTTTATTCAGCAAATTAAACCCTTACCATCAGTGCTCTCCTCCTCGCCGTCAGACTCAAAGAATGGCTCGCAGTCCCGAGACAGCGAGTCCTCGTCCATGGAGAAGACACCTGAAGCAAAATGATAAATCCTCAGAATGGGTTCACATCAAAGTATTTAAAAGACACAGATTAACTGCGTTGCTCCTCACCAGCACTTTCATTCCCATAGGGCCTCCTCTCATCCATGTCCTCCTCCTCTTCCTCATCCTCACACTCCTCTTCCAAGTCCACAATCCCAGATCTCTGTCTCCCCCGTTCGGCCTCTAGAACACTCTTCTCCAGCTCCCTCTCTCCGTTACCGTTCTGCCCGTTGCCCTGCCCGGTCACAGCTCCTGAGCTGTAGATTGACGGGTAGCTTTGGGAATACAGTCTGCTATTAGGACTGACTCCACCCACGCCACCATCTCCTGTAAAGCTCTGCAATAACAACAAAATCCACCATATTATGGATGTGAACACTTTGAATGTGTGCAGTACACAACACAAGCAGGTCACTCACCCCCCTGTGTCCGGGGTCAGAGGTCAGATCAACCACTAGCTTGGTTCCTCCCTCTCCCCCCGCCTGGCGTGTGTGCTTTTGGGTTGTTAGCATGGTCGTGGAGTGCAGCACGCCGATGTCGTCCATGTAGCGGCGCGCCGACTCAGCCAGGAACCCCTGACCCCATACATTGTAGGAGAAATCACACTCCTTAGGAAAGGCACTGCTGCTCTCCCGTTTCCTCATCCCATCTCCGCCTCCAGCTGATGTCCGGAACTTCTTGCATGCTGTAATTATAGCCAGGTCGCAGCCAGACTTTTGGCAGTACGTTTCTGCAGCAGAAAGTAGTGCCAGCCAGCTCTCCTTGTGGTTATCTGGGATCTCAGGCTCGGATGACTGGGTGATGGAGGCCATTATGGTGCTAAGTGCTGCTTACAGCTTTCTTATGGACTGACTTGATGAGGGAACTGAGAAATGCTGATGACTGACGAAGAGTTTTGAGGTTTAGGCTCGTCAGAAGCCTAAGTTAGGTTGGATTCTAGGGGCACCAAGTATTGACAGGTAACTTTGGTAGCTGCGGTGTATCTGACTGTACTCAAAAATCACTTTACTTGAGTTTCTTACTTTCTTCTGTCCTGCTGGTGTTAGTTTTAGCACTGGTGAAGATGGGGCAATGATGTACTATCAGGTCGAAGAGGCACTGGGTGACTTTAAGATTTGATATGATATGATATGATATATTGTGTGTCCTTACACACTGGAGAGCCAGGGGAGAGAAGAGATGTTGCCAAGTTGCTGGTGATACCTGGAACAAAAACACAAAACAAATCCAAGGTTAGCTGCAACACTTGAAAATGTCCCTCAATATAAATGGTGCTTCTTCATTCTTCTCTAAAAAGGCTTGTTAGTTTAGAAACATTTGTGCATTTAAATATGAGTAGATAAACATATAACAACAACCTACTTAGACTAATCTGTCCCCAGACTGTCGCAACCCTCTCCACCTCCATGTCTATGCTAATGCTACTGTAGCTACTGTAACGTTAGCTGCTGTCGCTTTGTAATGACCCTGCTCTCTATCGATCCCTTCACTGCCATCTTTGCAATCGTGTGCCTCGTTTTTATCTACATGCTATGGACCTTCCCTGCACGGCTGCTGTCGCTGTTGCAGCTGTTGTTGTTGATCTCGTTGTTTATTCAGTGTTGTGTGCAACCTCCTCATGATGGAACCACATTTCACCTCCATTTTTTAGGCTTTAACAGGAGCCGAGACGCGCGAGTATAAATGGCAGAAATGAGACAAGATGTTCACCCACCTGTTCAGTTTCTTTCTTCCACGTTGCCAGATGTTTATCAATCCTTAACTTTATTTCTTTTTTGTCAGACGTATTCTACATTCTCCCACGGTTTCTCTCCCCTAGCTAGGCTCGACACCAGCAGCAAGCTAGCGAGGACTGAGCGGCGTTTCCGATTGGGAATTTCAAAATAAAAGCCCCGTAAGTGAATGCGTTTTATTTAGAAACTGAGTAGTGAGACTTATCCAAATGAGAGGTGTGTGGTAATCGATTATATGTTATATATGACGCGAAATTCATTTAAAAATATATTCTGCTGTCAGCAAGGAGCTATGAAACATAATTTATCTGTAATTTCTGATCCATTCCCAAATAACTTCCAGAATGTTTCCTGGAAATAATTATGTAGCCTAGTTCAGTAATAATTGGCACACAAAAAAGATACTACTACTACTACTAATAATAAAAGTAGCATAATCTAGGGAGTCTATTGGTCACAAAGCACAGTGGTTCAGCTGAACATGAAAATGTGATTTTTTTTCTACAAAAACAAGCAAACAAATAAAACAAAAAATAATTTTATTTCATTTATTTTTGTTGTTATTTGAAAAAAAAATTAATAACTTGGAACAATTAAAGGAAAATTCGACCAGTAAAATACAGTGTTATACTATTAACATTATCATTACTTGTATGCCCTCTATATTTTGGATGATTCACACTGAGCACGAGATGTGTACATCTTTCTTTTTTAGGCACATCAGATTTTAAAAGTTCACCCTTTTTTTCACAGTTGTCATACATACAGGAGCACAGATTCTAATGGGGTTTTTTACAGGATCTGGTGCAAATGGTTTATTTTTGGTGAAATTTTGAATGAGACATGTAGAATAAAATGATTTTGATAACATGTCCCTATTTTAAACTAGGAGTTGATCAAGTGTCTTGACTGAAGCATTTATCTCACATTCAAGAAATACTGGAATTTGAAAATCTGAGGATAATTTGAATTTTTTTTCATTCATTTTTTTCTTCTTTTTACAATTTCTGGCTTTGATAAATGGTGTAATTTTGGCGAGTTTTAAACAAAACATGTTCATGTGGTATGTTAAAAAAACATACATTCCTCCTCAGAGCTTAAAAAATTATTTGATATGCCTCCCTTATTTTGCACCACCCCTCCCTCCCATAAATAAAGAACAGCCCCTTATTAATCAGCAAAATCACTGAATAATGTTGCAAAATTATTTTAATTTGAAGGCCAGTGACGTCTTCTCCCATCCGGTTTTGTTTACATTAGCTCTGGCTAACTTGACCCAACTCTGACGTCACCTGTTTACTGACTTCCAAACGAACGCACGTTGTACACGCGACCGCGCACTGTGGGCAGGCTCGTGCTCGCCTTTTCGTGCACGTATACACCCCAACACCTACTGCTCCCCACCTTAGAGCTAGAGAGCCCCTTTGCCTCAGCACACCTACCAGCTGTTCACAGGTCACATGACAATGGTATTCATGGTTATGTCAGTACTTATGTCAACAGTATCTATATTATGTAACTGTGTGAACCCCTGTAACAACAGTTCAGTCATTCCACCAGCAGAAACCATGGATTACTTGATACATGCTTTTAACCCATGCACTGCAGTCTGCACATTAGGTTTGCAGTCTGGAAACAAAACAGAATTATAGGAGGGAAGTGTGACTACATTTTTAGGAGGGCAACCCCAGAGGCTGGACCCTCTTCAGTTTGACTACTTTCCCAGCCAATCAACAGAAGATAGCACACATCCTCCTCACCAGCATCTTATCTGGATAACATAGGGAGCTATGCAAGACTGTTGTTCGCTGACTACAGTTCAGCATTTAACACCACTGTTTCCTTCAGCACCTCACTGTGCTATGGATCCATGACTTCCTGACAGGCAGACCCCAGGTGATGAGGGTTGGCACACTTATGTTTCATGCACCATCATCCAGTTTGCTGATGACAGAGCTGTGGCCGGCCTGATCACAGAAAACAATGAAAAGGCCTGCCTGAAGGAAGTGGAGGATCTGACCTGGTGTCAGAGGAGCAACCTGATCTTGAACGTCACCAAACAGATGATCATGGACATTGGGAGGAAGCAGCAAAGGAACTATAGACAGCTTCAAGTACCTTGGTGTCCATATGTTAGAGCCTGGACACTGCATACTGACTCAGTGGTGAGAAAGGCCAGGCAGAGACTGTTTCACCTCAGACGCTTGAGGCTTACACTTGACACTGTCAGAATAAGGCCAGGAGAATCATTAAGTACCTCAGCCACCTAGATAATCTCTGCTGAGATTGGAAGGAAGGTACCGGACACACCAGGTCAGCACTGAGAGGCTCAGGAAGAACTTCTAGGATCCTAAATTGACTCCTTTTGAATAGAGCGTGACTTGCTCAGTATGTAGAAATAAAAACTGTAGTTTAAAAAAAAAAAACTATAGAGTTTTTCAATATTTATGTTTTCATCATTATTGTATTCATATTCAGTATTATTGTACTGTGTTATCATATTCTTCAGTCTTCATACTGTGAACCTTGGCACATTCCTTGGTCAATATTTTTGCACAATCCTGCACAAAATAGTGCAGTTTTTAGCTTTTAAAACAGTTGAAACTGAGTTTTTCTGTTACTTTTTAAGTGCTGTTTTTCTATTTTATTTTATTTTCTCTCACAAATTTGCCTCAGTCTGTAGCCTACAGCATACAACACCCTCTGTCCTCACACCACCCCACAAACAAGTGAAACAGGGAAAACAGGAGGAAACCTCAGGGGAAGCAACAGAGGAGGGCTCTCTCTCCCGGGACGAACAGACATGCAATGGATATTGTGTGTACAGAAAAAACAACATATTGAAATTACAGTATGGCCAGTCAGGGTGACAACATTATAGATAGGCTATATTGTAAACATTTAGGCTATATGTTTATTGTTGTGAACCCAAACACCGAGGCAGATTCCTCTCATGTGACTGATAAAAGCTGATTGATTGACTTACTGATTCTGTGTGCGTGATAGTCTGCTGTCGCCTTATGGCGTCTTTTTATTTAAAGGAAAAAGACATAAACACACGCAGTGTATGTTCTAATGCTGTGATTGGCTCGCGCTCCTGCAATCACATCTCTTGGGGGGCGGGACTTTCCGGAAGCAGGAAGTATGACGTAACGTTTATTTTGGAAAAACGAAGTCGGGACAGAGGTGACAGGAAAATGGAGCAAAACGTTGAGGATTACAAGGTATTGCTAAGTTTTATCTAATATTTTACCAACAGTATTTTTAAGGTATGAATGTTAACAACTTTTTATCTTCTAGATTGTGACGTTTTTAGTTAAACTCCTCGAGCTCGCGGTCAGTGTTAGCTTATACTTCAAGCTAGCTATCGGTTGTCAATAACGCTGGATAAAACAAAGCAGCACATAGTCAGCCACATGTTGACAGCTGGCTGGATATAAGATGTCGGACTTTGTTATGTAGCTAGCCGACAGCTGAATTCATAAACAGGGAGACATTAAAACTTGTCAGCCGATTTTGGACCATCATAGTAAAGTCTACCCAAGTTTTCCTGTTTGATTGGCTCGTATTCACCGACTGACCTGGCAGATCCGACATCATGTGATGCTTTAGTCATTCACAGGCTCGTTGTAATGTGATTTCACTTAAGTGCCACAGTTATTTCATGGGGAACTCCAGGCCAGGCTATTTGACAGTGCACTGAATATATTTGAGTGGTCAAAACAACATGTGAAGACCTCATCTTTGGCTGTGGGGAAAACTTTAATGCGAGAAAGTAATCTTATCATCAGATTAATAGATGACAAAAAATATTATTAGTAATTAGATAATTACCATATACATACCAAACAGGTTCCTATGACCAGAGTCTGACACAACCTAAAAGTGAGCCATGTCTTTATTTCTCTATATGCTGCATAACTGATTTACATTTCTGTTTTCTTTCCCCTCAGTTGATATTTGAGAAGGAGGGAGTGTACCTCCACACAAATGCCAAGAGGAGTAACCAGGACACCACCATCCCAGGGTTCATCCGCATTGTTGAACGAGTAAGCAAATCTCTGTGAGATTTTAAGATATAAAGAGGGAAAACAAAGACACACTGGGATTATTAACCATGCGTTTGTTTAGGCCGGGGTGCCAGCTTTAGAGTGGAGCCCACTGGAGGATGAAGGTCGCAGTGCCCCTGCTGTACTCTACACCAAAAAGGTCAGTAATCATCTGTTTGAATAATTTGAGTATTTCTGTCTGTCTCAGGGTTCTCATGGTCATGGAAACCAGAATTAGTTAAGGAATTTAACATATTTTTTTCCAGGCCTGAAACAGTCATGATATTAGTACAAATCCTTGAAGGTTTTGAAAAAGTCATGGAATTTTGTTGTTTGCAATGAAATTGTTACAGTAACCTTTAGTGAATAACCTTCCACGTAATGTCACGAAATGGCAGTTAGAACTGACACTGTGGGAGCTGCTATAATAATATACTTAACATTTGGAGTAAAGTCTACTATACAGTTCTGTTCTTATTACATGTTGTGATTGGTCATGGAAATTTTGTTATGGGTCCTTGAGAAGTTATGGAAAAGTTTTGAAATTTTGCACATGATCATGTGTGGGAACCCTGTAATTCTCATCAACCCACTTTTTACTATATAGGACGGAGAAGGAGGGGAAGAGGATACAAACTTTGACCCTGGGTATGAGCCAGACTGGGCAGTTATCAGCACAGTGAAGAAAGATCGAGAACATGTCCCAGTCAAAGACTCAGGTGCAGTTTACACTTCCATCACTTTTGGCAAACAGTGATGTTAAAAAAAGTTTCATAAAACTAATGTCACCTATATCCCCTGCAGGTCAGTGGTCGTTCTCTCTGCCTCTATCAGAGTTATACTCTCTTCGGAGGGCTCGGTTCTCTTTGGGGCGAAACTTCCTGGTGCTGACGAGTAGAGGGGGCCACCCACTGCCTCCTCTGCACTTCCACAGAGGAGGAACCAGGGAGCTGTTTAGGGCCCTTCAGCGTTACATCATCCTGGACCAGTAAGTATCACCATCCTACTTCAGGCAGCAGTTTCTGTCTTGTTGTTACTTTAAACATGTTAGAATGCATCTCATGACAGCTCTGGGAACAGCTGATGTACACTTTTAGACAGAGCTGTTTACATCTTTGTTGACAAACCTCATGAGGATGAAAAACATCACATGACTTCCGTTGTTATCATCAGATCACCGGTTGATGGGCGGCTCTTCCTCGCCTACCCTCATGACTCAGGCGCTCTCTCTCAGTCCTTTGATAAGCTGCAGCTCCTTGATGACGGAGGCTCAGATCTTGTTTCGGTAATATGCTTTTATTTTTATTTATTATTAGCTATCAATACTGGTGACTCACAGATCAAAGTCCAAAAATCTAGCCCATACTTGTTTTGGATGAAAAACTTAGAGCGTAGTCACTTAAGTTCCTGCCCCCATCCTCTGCTCACACTCACATCTTTAGCCGCTCATTAATGAAGCATCTGGAGTGTTGCAGCACATGAACCTCTTTCTCTCTTTGTCAACCCAAAAACACAGAGGGAATAGATGAACTTTGTCAAACTTGTTGCAGTTCTCTCTCATAATGTAAAAAAAACTTCTGTTCTTGTTTGTGATTCTGTTCTCTCTCTGCCTGAACAGAGATTTATCCAGGACCCATATGCCACCACATTTGGTGGATTTTCCAAAGTCACCAATTTCTTTAGGGCGGCACTTCGACCTCCAGGATCCCCCAGCCACTTGCGTACCGCTCAGGATCCTAGTTTGCCCCCCCAGTCTGATGAAGAGCCTGGATTCGAACTCATCACTTGTGTAAGAGAAGGAAACAATAAGGACAATGTAAAGCACAAAGTCGTGTCTTATGCATGGAGATCGCAGATTGTTGTAATGTTAAAGACACGAGAATAATGTTTGTGTTTGTCTTTCCCTTAAGGGGATAGAGCTTGGCCCCAGACCAGACGTAACCAGGGGACAACCTCTGAACAAATGGGAAGAGTTTCTGGACTCAGAGGGGCGAGTGCAGAACCCAGAGAGGATCAAAGAGCTTGTTTTTAGAGGGGTGAGACAGGAAATACAGTGACAGTATACCTTCTGTGTGAAAGACATACCTTGATATTTTTTTCAGCTCTTTATCTACCAGATGTACATGTTTTTAATGCCATTCTTGTTCATTGCAGGGTGTCATACCATCCCTGAGGAAGGAGGTATGGAAGTTCCTCCTGGGCTTTTATCCATGGAACAGCACGTTCAAGGAAAGAGAGGACATTCTGCGGGTCAAAACGTTAGTATTTTTGTTACTGTGGACTTCACCAGAACTCTTTTTGATAGTCAAAGGAATAATTTAACATTTTTGGAAATAAAATTAATTGCTTTCTTGCTGAGAGTTAGACTAGAAGTCAGAATTCATGTTTGTACGGTACATATGAAGCTACTGCCAGCAATGAGTGAGCTTAGCTTCTTTGGTTCTTGTTGTCACCATGAGGTTTCCAGGCAACCAGTGCAGACTCAAGGAAGTGACTGCACCTGGTCAAGAAATACAAACTGCCTATAAAACCCCAATTTGTCTTTTATACACTTAAGATTTTGTATGAATTAAACAAACGAGATATAACGTGTTAACAGGTGAGCTGTGGAGGTGTTGTCAGGTGATTTTTGTTACTTCTGGATAGAGCCAGGCTAGCTTTTTTCCCCATGTTTGCAGCCTTTGTGCTAACCTAAGCTAACCAGCATTAGCTTCATATTTTCCATACAGATGACAGATCAGTGTCAATCTTCTCACCTAAGTCTGTACAAGAAAGTGAATACATTTATTTCCCAAAATCTCAAACTGTTCATTTGACGTAGCTAGCCACTTTTAATGCCTTCTTTGTGTCTGCAGGGACGAGTACTTCAGGATGAAGGTGCAGTGGAAGTCAGTCAGTGAAGAGCAGGAGATGAGGAACTCGCTCCTCAGAGGATACAGAAGCCTGATAGGTCAGCCCCGCAATCTTTCATAAAACAGAAGATCTGTTCATCGAGCCAGTCAGCTGCTCTGTGAGAGCTGCAGTAGATGTTAAAGTTTGAACTGTCTTTGTTCTCTTGTGACAGAGAGAGATGTCAGCAGGACAGACCGACACAATACGTTCTTCTCTGGGAACGACAATCCAGGACTGACTCTGCTGCATGATGTGCTGATGACATACTGCATGTACAACTTTGATCTTGGTATGTATATCTGAATGTCCATAGTAATTTGCCCCGACCCGACCCAGTTCTCTCAAAATGGAAGTTTTAAGGTTCCTGAGAACAAGAATTCTAAGTGTTTCAGGTTTCTGTGTTTACAGTTTCACTCTCCTCCTCCTTGTCTGCCCAAACTGCGGTGTCTGCAGTAATAGTTATTATTTTTGTTGTTGTTGTTGTTGATTACATTTGACTTTTAGATAATTAAAGGGAAGTTTTAGATTATCTGAATTGCTAATGATCATTTAGGCAAATACACGCATCCATGTCATCCTGACACCTTTGTCTCTATCATTCCAGGCTATGTCCAGGGGATGAGTGATCTCCTTTCTCCTCTCCTGTTCGTCACCCAGAACGAGGTGGAGTCCTTCTGGTGTCTGACAGGCTTCATGGAGCTGGTGGTTAGTAGACAGCTCTCCCTCTTTCTGTGTCCATTTCAGTTAGAAAAAGGTTTAGTTTTGTTGTTTCATTCATTCAAGCTGTATAGCAGTGTCACAGTGGACAGGAACAGCAGACTACAGCTCAGCAGTGACACAAACAAAAACAAGGAAGTTTGACTCAAAGCGTAAATACAAACCTTTGTGTTTCTGCTTTTTGCGTTCAGTTAACTGATTCTTGTGTGGTGACTTAGTGGCTCACCAGCAGCTCTGATTTAAATAAAAACAAAAAGCACACACAGCTAAATTTGCAGAAGTCTTTCTGCGTGATCTTTGTTAAGGTTTCACTCTGAATAGATCATATAAATAGCAGTACTTTGAAAGGTGAAGGCATTCTTATGTGTGCAGTGACTTAACAAGTCTTTCCTTGTTTCCTCTGCAGCACCAGAACTTTGAAGAGTCTCAGGAGGCCATGAAGCAGCAGCTCCTTCAGCTCAGTATCCTGCTGAAGGCTCTGGACCCGGAGCTATGTGACTTCCTGGGTTAGTCAGCTAATACTCGTGTAGTCAGACTACATTAGATTTTTTTTTTTTTTTTTTTTAAAAAACCTCTTGAGGCAAAGCTGTTCACATTTTGTTAAGATAATGCAACAAAAAGTAGGGCAGAAACAAGAATAAAGCAAATGAGAGGCTATTATATGTAATGCAACCCTCAAGGATATACATTAGAATCTATTAATTATGTATAAAAGTACACACATTTGCAGCATCTGCAGGATAAGCATAAAAATGTTTGCTACATGAGAGGAAATTCATTAATTTTCAGGATACACGGTCAAATGTGCTAAAGACGCAACTCTTTATTACTCATTTACAAGGAGCTCATTTTTCTTTTGTGGTGGTCACTAATTGAAAAGTATATACATATTTACTTCATCCGTCAGACTCTCAGGACAGCGGCTCTCTGTGCTTCTGTTTCCGCTGGCTGCTCATCTGGTTCAAGAGAGAGTTTTCCTTCGAGGACATCCTCATCATGTGGGAGGTGAGTGCACCACAGCTGCAGTTACTTACTATATACATGAATATTTTTATAATGCTGAAGCACAGTCAGGCTGGCCTCACTGCTTTAAACCTTGGTGGTGTTAAACTTCATTAGGTTGTTACAATTAACATCACCTTTTGACTTTTATTGAAGTATTTTTTTCATTTAAAAAAAAAGAAGTAAAGGTTTATTGTGAAACTACAAACTTGGCTGTGACATGTTTGAAACATCCCTTTCTTTCCTCAGGTTCTTTGGACTCGTCTGCCATGTGACAACTTCCATCTCCTGATCGCCTGTTCAATCCTGGAGTCTCAGAGAGGAGAGCTGATTGGCTCAGACCACGACTTTAACACTATTCTGAAGGTGTGTGTGTGTGTGTGTGTGTGTGTACATTTGTGTATGTGAGACAGGAGTTGAGTTACTTTGTCTATAACTATACACATTTTCATCTGTGACACTCTTCAGCACATCAATGAGCTGACGATGAAGTTGGACCTGCAGAGTATTCTGCGTGGAGCAGAGGCCATCTACCTACAGCTGACTCAGTGCAAGGTAAGAGGTGCCTCATGGATTCAACATGGAATCAAAGGAGTATCTCAATTTGTGTCCAGATTTGATCTGCAGCGTTAATTGTACAGGCCCTGCGTCTGCTAGGCCAAGTAGGACCTTTTTTGTCTGCCCATAAATGTTTTTAATGGCACATATCCATTCTTACGTGTCCCTATGTTCATTCTGCAGCAGTGCACCGCTGTGAGCCCATGCATGAGACAAGTGTCTGTGTTTAGTTCACATGTCCAGACAGTCGAGCGTCTGTTATCTCAACTGCTAAAGACAGTTGAACAGCTAAAGTAAAGATAATGTTGTTGGTAGGCTACTGATTACAAAGCTTGGTAGTGAATGACACGCTAACGTGCTCATGGTGAAAACAGATCGGTGATGCTGTTTTGTCCTCATTGTTCTTCATGAAGTTTGTTGAAGTGATGTAATGTAGCCCTGCTGCATTTTATGCGGAGTGAGCACTGCACTATGCTCCATTTAAAAAAAAAAATAGCCTTTTAAATGCTGCATTGCTTGTCAGCAAACAGTCATATGGTAACTTAGGAGGCAGTTTGGTCTTGTGGGCTGTGATTAATTTGGCATGCAGCTAACACACCAGTCATGGCTGGCATTTGCTCCTGTTGTTCTTCACCACTGTTTGTGGAAGAAGGAGGAGAACCAGTTTTAAAAGTGATGGTCTTCTTTTTAAATTAGTGCTGTGTGGTGGATCTAATTAATGCCAATGTAAGGAGTGGTTCAGGTGGATTTGGCAAAGTAACTGCTAGATATTGCGAGCAGATAAATATTGAAAGAAACTTTAAATTGTTGAATTTGAGGACAGAACTTGATGTGGTGATGGGTGGTGCAGTGGCTGTTTAATTGTGTAAGCAGCCCATCCGCCAAGCCAAAGCAGTGGACCTAAGGGGAAATACTAGATCTTGTAGTTGCTTATACAGAAGAGCAAATACAACCCCTGGCAAAAATTATGGAATCACCAGTCTTGGAGGATGTTCATTCAGTTGTTTAATTTTGTAGAAAAAAAGCAGATCACAGACATGACACAAAACTAAAGTCATTTCAAATGGCAACTTTCTGGCTTTAAGAAACGCTAAAAGAAATCAAGAAAAAAAATTGTGGTAGTCAGTAACAGTTACTTTCTTAGACCAAGCAGAGGGAAAAAATTATGGAATCACTCAATTCCGAGGAAAAAATTATGGAATCATGAAAAACAAACAAACAAAAGAACACTTCAACACACCACTAGTACTTTGTTGCACCACCTCTGGCTTTTATAACAGCTTGCAGTCTCTGAGGCATGGACTTAATGAGTGACAAACAGTACTCTTCATCAGTCTGGCTCCAACTTTCTCTGATTGCTGTTGCCAGATCAGCTTTGCAGGTTGGAGCCTTGTCATGGACCATTTTCTTCAACTTCCACCACAGATTTTCAATTGGATTGAGATCCGGACTATTTGCAGGCCATGACATTGACCTTATGTGTCTTTCTTCAAGGAATGTTTTCACAGTTTTTGCTCTATGGCAAGATGCATTATCATCTTGAAAAATGATTTCATCATCCCCAAACATCCTTTCAATTGATGGGATAAGAAAAGTGTCCAAAATGTCAATGTAAACTTGTGCATTTATTGAAGATGTAATGACAGCCATCTCCCCAGTGCCTTTACCTGACATGCAGCCCCATATCATCAATGACTGTGGAAATTTGCATGTTTTCTTCAGGCAATTGTCTTCATAAATCTCATTGGAACGGCACCAAACAAAAGTTCCAGCATCATCACCTTGCCCAATGCAAATTCGCGATTCATCACTGAATATGACTTTCATCCAGTCATCCGTAGTCCACGATTGCTTTTCCTTAGCCCATTGTAACCTTGTTTTTTTCTGTTTAGGTGTTAATGATGGCTTTCGTTTAGCTTTTCTGTATGTAAATCCCATTTCCTTTAGGCGATTTCTTACAGTTTGGTCACAGACGTTGACTCCAGTTTCCTCCAGTTTCCTCCCATTTGTTCCTCATTTATTTTGCTGTGCATTTTCTGTTTTCAAGAAATATTGCTTTAAGTTTTCTGTCTTAACGCTTTGATGTCTTCCTTGGTCTACCAGTATGCTTGCCTTTAACAACCTTCCCATGTTGTTTGTACTTGGTCCAGATTTTAGACACAGCTGACTGTGAACAACCAACATCTTTTGCAACATTGCGTGATGATTTACCCTCTTTAAGGAGTTTGATAATCCTCTCCTTTGTTTCAATTGACATCTCTCATGTTGGAGCCATGATTCATGTCAATCCATTTGGTGCAACAGCTCTCCAAGGTGTGATCACTCCTTTTTAACTGCAGACTAACGAGCAGATCTAATTTACAGGGTGATTCCATAATTTTTTCCTCAGAATTGAGGGATTCCATAATTTTTTCCCTCTGCTTGGTCTAAGAAAGTAACTGTTACTGACTACCACACTTTTTTTTCTTGATTTCTTTTAGTGTTTCTTAAAGCCAGAAAGTTGCCATTTGAAATGACTTTAGTTTTGTGTCATGTCTGTGATCTGCTTTTTTTCTACAAAATTAAACAACTGAATGAACATCCTCCAAGACTGGTGATTCCATAATTTTTGCCAGGGGTTGTATAAAGCACATTCTCAGGAATATACCACTATTTTTCAAGCTAAATCTAAAAAAAAAACAACCTATATAGAAGCTGTAAGGTCATTGACACCTGTTCACCAGTGATTCCTGACCTCCTGTCCTCCGTCCTCCTCAGGAGCTTCCCCTCAAGGTGCAGCAGGTCCTGGGTCTCTACACTCCCTCCACCTCTGAGGAGGACAGCCCAGACTCCCAGGCCAGCGAGACACAACGCCTCCTCTGCGAGTCCCCTGCAGGAGCTGCCTCATCTGATTCAGCATGTGGTCCCACTTATCCTTAAATCTGCAGGTCAGCTGGGGGACTGAAATGTATGGACGAACTTTATATAATGAACAAAAAATATATATATCTGTATATGATCTAATGAGAAGGAATGAATACTGTTTGGTGAAGACTGTTGTTACTAGTTGTCAGCGGCAGGGGGCGCTGTGAGATTTTTTTTTTCTTTTAAAGTCCCCATGAATGTTGCAACTGAAGATGTTTGAACACTATAGCCGTACTTGCAGTGCTTTTTTTTCTGTGTGTGTTGTCCTTGTCAATTGTTTACACATTTTGTGTTTCTGCTGCAGAGTACCGCCCTCCTTTCTACTCTCCATCCTCCCTTTGATGCTGCTGTTTTACCTTTTAATAATCATCTGCGCTTGTCACTTGTGATGCAGTGTACTCTCAGTGCGTTCTGTTAAACGTCCCCTGGCCACTGTTCCTTAAAAGGGAAGAAGATGAAGGATAACCTCACTGGCAGCACCTTGTTAGTACTGTATGATGCCATTCCAGTCCTATGCAAACTTTATTGCATGCCTTATAGTTTTCACATGTGGCGTAGCGTCATTTTAAGCTTTGTAATTATCGACATTATGTTATAACATTTTCATCCGCTGATTATTTCCAAATAAATGGTTGAATCTTAATGAAGCAGAGTTTTTATATGTTTTTCTTTCACTTACTGGTCTGACTATCAACAGGTCTACTCACAGTCAGATCAAATTTATTTATGTGCAAGTACATAGCACAGAGCAGCGCCACATGCCACAGCAATTAAACTCACCAGTGTACCCTCACTGATATAAATTGTGTAAACAAAATATTAGAGAAACCTCTTTGTGTTTTGACAGCACCACAAACTACATCCTCCAAAATGACCAGAAAGTTGGGCCCTTATATAAATATATTAAACTCAGTAACAACCCAAAAGTCAAGACACACTTTCAGAACAGCATAAAACACAAAATCACAAAAAAATCACAGCTACAAAACATCACAAAACTAAACATGGAAATAGATAAAAAACAGCTCTAAATGCCAAAATACAAACAAGACAAAATGCATCAAGAAAGCATACAACACAGCAAAAATCAACAAGTAAATACAAACAGTGACACAAGTAAATTGTCATAGAACTCAATGAAAAGCACCACAACATTCATTACTGATGTCTCTTAAAAATCAATTTCACCTTGAGTTCAAAATTATCCCAGTCATGATCCATTTTGAAGTCTGTAGAGGGAGTTAAACGGCCAGTGTGTAAGATTTAGGGGGATATACTGGCAGAGTATAATATAATATGTATGTTTTCTTTAATGTACAGTACAGGCCAAAAGTTTGGACACACCTTCTCATTCAATGCGTTTTCTTTATTTTCATGACTATTTACATTGTAGATTCTCTCTGAAGGCATCAAAACTATGAATGAACACATGTGGAGTTATGTACTTAACAAAAAAAGGTGAAATAACTGAAAACATGTTTTATATTCTAGTTTCTTCAAAATAGCCACCCTTTGCTCTGATTACTGCTTTGCACACTCTTGGCATTCTCTCCATGAGCTTCAAGAGGTAGTCACCTGAAATGGTTTCCACTTCACAGGTGTGCCTTATCAGGGTTAATTAGTGGAATTTCTTGCTTTATCAATGGGGTTGGGACCATCAGTTGTGTTGTGCAGAAGTCAGGTTAATACACAGCCGACAGCCCTATTGGACAACTGTTAAAATTCATATTATGGCAAGAACCAATCAGCTAACTAAAGAAAAACGAGTGGCCATCATTACTTTAAGAAATGAAGGTCAGTCAGTCCGGAAAATTGCAAAAACTTTAAATGTGTCCCCAAGTGGAGTCGCAAAAACCATCAAGCGCTACAACGAAACTGGCACACATGAGGACCGACCCAGGAAAGGAAGACCAAGAGTCACCTCTGCTTCTGAGGATAAGTTCATCCGAGTCACCAGCCTCAGAAATCGCAAGTTAACAGCAGCTCAGATCAGAGACCAGATGAATGCCACACAGAGTTCTAGCAGCAGACCCATCTCTAGAACAACTGTTAAGAGGAGACTGCGCCAATCAGGCCTTCATGGTCAAATAGCTGCTAGGAAACCACTGCTAAGGAGAGGCAACAAGCAGAAGAGATTTGTTTGGGCCAAGAAACACAAGGAATGGACATTAGACCAGTGGAAATCTGTGCTTTGGTCTGATGAGTCCAAATTTGAGATCTTTGGTTCCAACCGCCGTGTCTTTGTGAGACGCAGAAAAGGTGAACGGATGGATTCCACATGCCTGGTTCCCACTGTGAAGCATGGAGGAGGAGGTGTGATGGTGTGGGGGTGTTTTGCTGGTGACACTGTTGGGGATTTATTCAAAATTGAAGGCACACTGAACCAGCATGGCTACCACAGCATCCTGCAGCGACATGCCATCCCATCCGGTTTGCGTTTAGTTGGACGATCATTTATTTTTCAACAGGACAATGACCCCAAACACACCTCCAGGCTGTGTAAGGGCTATTTGACCAAGAAGGAGAGTGATGGAGTGCTGCGGCAGATGACCTGGCCTCCACAGTCACCGGACCTGAACCCAATCGAGATGGTTTGGGGTGAGCTGGACCGCAGAGTGAAGGCAAAGGGGCCAACAAGTGCTAAACACCTCTGGGAACTCCTTCAAGACTGTTGGAAAACCATTTCAGGTGACTACCTCTTGAAGCTCATGGAGAGAATGCCAAGAGTGTGCAAAGCAGTAATCAGAGCAAAGGGTGGCTATTTTGAAGAAACTAGAATATAAAACATGTTTTCAGTTATTTCACCTTTTTTTTGTTAAGTACATAACTCCACATGTGTTCATTCATAGTTTTGATGCCTTCAGTCAGAATCTACAATGTAAATAGTCATGAAAATAAAGAAAACGCATTGAATGAGAAGGTGTGTCCAAACTTTTGGCCTGTACTGTATGATCACCTGAAAATGAGAATCATTGTGTTTTCCTTACCTTAGAATGAGCTGTTTATATCTACATAGGGAGTGGGTCCTGTTCTGTGTTGATAGCTATGTTGCACCGCCATGTTTCTACAGTAGCCCAGAACAGACAAACCAGATATTGGCTCTACCTGGGGCCTTTTGTTTTTTCACATTAGCCACTGTAGTTAGCAGCCCCTCTGCAATGAGAGTGTCAGAGAAACAGCGATTTCTAATATGAAACCTTTATTAAGCTTTATTCAGTGTTTAGACCAGTTTTAATCGCTGGATGGAATGTTTTGGCTTCACTTTTGGGGAGCTGTCATGTCATCCATCTTTATACAATCTACCTAAAAATAAGGTGAACACATGAAGTTTTATGAGAAAATAGGTGAGCACACATTAGTGGGTACTGAGCATCTACCTGTCTATGACGTGCCTGGCAATGTAGGAGAAACACTAATTTGTAATGTATTGCTGCTTTATTCTGTGTTTTCTCCTGTTGTAATCACCTGGCCCTTTCTTTTGGAGAGGAAGAGACCTCTGTGGATAATTCAGCTCCTGGTAGAAACCTCCTGAACAATGAACACTGAAGGAATTCTAACCGAGAAGAACCTAGCGGTTTAAGCTGGCTGCAACCTGCAATACTCACTGCTAGATGCCAGTTAATCCCCCCAAATCTTATGCACTATCCTTTAAATTCATGATATTCTCTGAACAGGGAAAGTTGTCTGTTTAAAAGAGATTTTCCAAAAGGGCCTATCCAGAAACCATGAGAAGTACCACCATGTCACCGAGCACTAAAGGAGGAGCCTGGTTACTGATACATTTATATACAGGTTTAATAGAGGCAAATGTATGGAAAGAATCAAAACTTATGTAGGGTAATTTATTGGTCAAGTGTGTATGATTCAGGTGGATATATTTGCAATAATGCTGTAAGCAAACTAACTGTTTGGTTCATAATGTCGTTGTAAGCAGATCTAGGTTTATTTACTTACTTGTTAACTTGTGAAGCTTCTGTAACTGGATTCTGGCATAAGCAGTTAATAAATGACAGTATAACACAGCTATATTTATATAGAATATGTTTTCACTGTAAAAGTTATAATTGTTGAAAATAATGTACATTGATAAGCACACAAAACGTTCTTATATCTGCTTATAACTACATTATAATAAATATTTATCATCCAAGCACAACAGTGTACTCTATGTTTATATGTTGCATAGCTGATAAATACAAAACTGAAACAAAATATGGAATTTAGGAATCAGACTGAGAAACTGTAATCATCCCAGTGTAACAGTAACAGCTATTTGTTTATGTAGTGTCTTCACTTGTGAACTGGTTAAACTTTGGCCTCTCTCCTCTCCTCCCCCACTGGCCAGCAGGTGTCTGTGTGAGGTGAATGGCTGAGGGGAAAATAGGACCTCTGTTCTCCACTGTCCCGGGAAATGAGCTGGAAAATGAGGGGCGGAGGGGACACACCTCCTTCTCAGGACCTCTTTTGGCTCGTCGCTGTCTCTTTCCCACTTCGTCCATGTTGTTTGAATACAGCTGCGATGTATGAATTTAACAGGGTGCTTAAACAAGCTGGCGATCTGTCACCCTTTCTCTCTTGGCCCCATCCTCCCTCCGTCCACCCCAACCTGACCTCACTTGACTGGCAGAGCCAAACTTACTCAGCCCTTCATTCAAACTCAATCTGCTTTCAGCCCCTCTCAAAGCCTGTTTTATAGGCGAAGGCCTTGTCGACAGCTTTAAACCCCATATTCTCTCACTAATGCTACAATTGACTAAGTGTTAGAGGATTAGGGTCTCTTCATGTTGTCATTATGTTGGGTGTCTTAGAAAAGCTGTTATAGGTGATGTTCCCTCTGAGTGTGAGATCTGAGCTGCTGCGTGTTTGTTTTTATAAACTACGAATACGGCACTTGACATTTCTCAAGGTGTGTTTTAATGTGGTGATTTTACAGGTTTCATAGTCAACAACTGTGACCCTTGTTTCACACTGTCTTTTATTTTGCTAAAAAAAATGAACTTAAACACTCACAGGAGTATAAATGACATCCTCTTATTCTACATTCTAGAGAGTTCATCCACTTTTTGATTTACAAATTTATGAGTGTTTAAAAAGAGTGTCATGCTATTAGCCAGTGAGCAGCAGTCCTCACTGTCAGACGATTTTAATAGATGAGTCCAGAAAAAGGTAAATATCACTGCCACTTATACCTGCGACCCAATAAATAACAACACATTCTCACTTTCCACGTCAACATATGACAAGCTGGTTGCATCTGTTGCTGACTTTCTGGGATGCCATGTCAACTTCAGCCTGTTACATACATTGTGTCTTTTCAAAATACACTTCAGTTTTCACAGGAAATGGACAGTTTGCATAGAGTCTCTTTCAAAATAGATGCACTACATCAGTACAACACCGCAAATTGACATTTTTCCTTTCCACAACAAACGCACGCATTTGTGGTTGTTGGACCCGTCCTCCATCCCTCCCACCAACCCTACTCAGAATTCTTCCTTCCTGAACTTAAGTTGTTGTCTAGTTGAGTTTCCCCCGACACGGGTGGACACCGTTACACACTGACTGTACCCAGCCGCGTATCATGCTGATGTGAAAGGGCGGCTTTTTTGCCCAAGCATCAGTCTTCGATGACTTTGGAATGAGACTGGGCTGCAAATAAAAAGTTTGAGCTGCTTCCCTTGGGGCAAAGGTATACACTGTCCAGGATCAGGTGCAATAAATTTGAACATTAATTTTTACTACGCACAATCAATTCTTTTGATTTGCACTCCAACAACTAAATTGCATTCTTTGTAGTTGCCAAAAGGAGCCTGGCCTTGTCTTATTTTCTTTATTTGTTTGTGTAGTTTTACCTGTTGTACTTTCGGTTTTCAATTGCATTTATTGCTATTGTGTGTCATTCTTTCTGAGTCATATTTCTTTTATAATCTGCATTGTATCTTTTTGTTAATCAGTTTAACTGATGGATGGAATGCAGCATACAGGACAGTAAAGACTGAATTGAACTGAACTATTCCAGTAAAGTGAATATCTGGACAGAATCAGAGTCTGAAGACATAAAGTTTTTGTTTCAGATATACTGAACCAAAAAGTGTTTTATTTAAAAGCAGGAATTCCAGCTACACATCAGAAAATGTTGTTGTGTATCGGCTGCTGTCATAGCTGTTCTGTTACTCAGGGTTCATTGAGAGACAGGATCAAATTCACAAACTAAAACATTTCATTATTAGTTCTTATGATTAAATCTTTTTCTTTTAAGTTGGTGAAATTAAGTGAAAACATGTCCACTGACAGCACTGTTATTTTGATATGTTCATGGCTGCAGTGGTGGAAAGTAACTAAGTACATTTGCTCAAGTACTGTACGTAAGTACATCTTTTAGGTACTTTACTCAAGTATTTCCATTTTCTGACGCTTTATACCTCTACTTGACTACACTTCAGAGGGAAATATTGTACTTTTTACTGTGTTTTTATATTTATTTGACAGCTGCAGTTAGTTTACAGATTAAAATGTGAAACAGGCAGCGCAGTGGTGAAGTGGTTAGCATTGTCACCTCACAGCGAGAGGGTTCCTGGTTCGAACTCCAGAGTGAGGGACCCCCTTTGTATGGAGTCTACATGTTCTCCCTGTGTCAGTGTGGGTTTTCTCTGGGTACTCCGGCTTCCTCCCACAATTAGGTTAGGCTAATTGGCGACTCAAAGGTGTGAATGTGAGTGTGAATGGTTGTTTGTTAAAAAAACTAACTTAATGAAATTCCTGATGATCTTTCTATTAGATATAAGGTAATTTTTAACCAAGTTCTTTTCAAATATCATGTTCAATTAAATGTATTTAATTCTGTCACAAAGTTGGTGAAGTAACTTTTCACTCTCCCTACATTAACCTGAGTTTACTTTGAGTCACACTTTGCCACCAGCTCTACTCTGAATAGAATGAATTATTGATGCTCAGCTGAAATCAAGTCGTGGTGTCACTGTGGCCGTCCATTTAACTCCTATTTGAAACATGAGCTGCCATTGAAAGCTTAATGTGTGAAGAGCCACCTGTAATGACTGTCAAATACAATCTGTATTCTCCACTGGTGAGTGCGACCCCATTGTGACCATCAGAGGAGTCCCCGGAGAGTGTGTGAAAAGTGTGTCTACCCAGTGAATGTGTGAAGTGTGTGTGTGAGAGGGGAGCCAGCAGCAGGCAGAAGGCCAGGGGCTGTTGTCTGACACTGATTTGTAAAGGGAGACAATACGGCTCATTGACCTGCCCGGCTCCACTGTCTGTTGCACATACCTCGCCTGGCCCTCCCCAGTGGCTTCGCTGCTCTTTAAACACGAGCAGCAGATTGCCACAGGCACAGGGAGGGGGGGGGGGGGGGGGGCAGCGGGCCACAGGTTGCTTTGACAATGAGGAACCTCAAAGCAGAGCCAAAACTCTGATGAACACATTTATATTTTTAAAACCTTATTTTTACTTGGTCTGGTAGAGTTTGTGACATATTCTATAAAGTTATCTTTAAGATATGTTTTTTTATTTATTAATTTTATTACTAACATGTCGTTTATGTTTTATTTGTGTTGTACAAAGAAAGTTTATTATTATTACTATCTATATTCTAATTTGCAGTAACATCTACTATAAATACAATATTAGAGGTCTGATGTGGTTCCCACATTTTCAGACTTGTGATTCCTCGCAACACATTTTAAAACCGTTTATCACAAGTTTGCAAAATATAGAGAAAGACTCCAACTAATAATTATTTTCATTATCAGTTAACCTCCTGATTATGTTCTTGATTAGTTGATTCCATGTTTGGTTTATATTATGTTTTTTGCATCCAGCACTTTCATGTTTTGAGATTGTGTGTGGTCTAAAAAGTTTTGCTATTATTTGGTTTATGAAAAGTCTGATAATGGTGAAAAAATGTAACATAATTGCCCAGAGCTCAACATGATGTCTTCAAAGTTTTTGTTTTGTCCAAAAAAAAAAAAAAAAAACTGTCCAAAACCCAAAGATGGTCTATTTACTGTCACATAGGACAAAGAAAAAGTCTCCTTTTCAAAGTTGAAACCAGCAAAACTGTGGCATTTCTTTGGACAGTCAATCAATTATCTGAATTGTTGCTGATTAATTTATATTAACTAATTAAACCTTTGAACCCTGAGCAAACTGGTATAATTTCTTTCAAAAACATGGGAAAAAATTAAGCTACTTGTTAAGAAATGTCCCACAGATTGCAAAAAATGAATAGATTCAGAAAATTATTTTAAAACACAAGGTAAAAAAGAACTATAAAAACTATATTTATGAATATTATTATATTTCAAATTTATGTTACAGATTTCTTTATCATTTTAAGCACTTTTAATTTCCTTGTTTGTTTTTTTACTTAATTTTTTTCCGTTTTTGTTTAACTCATTTTCTTGTTTTTAATTTTCTCCTTTTATGAATTTCTTGAAAATTTTTGGGCCTTCTTCCCATGTTTTTGAAAGAAATCAAGTTGGTTTTCTTAGGTTTCAGGTTTCAAAGGGTTAACTGAGTAAATTAATAATTATTTCAGGCATATCTACCTGAACATATTGCTGTTTTTTTTTTAATAATTTGGCCTGAGGATTCAGTATTTTACTAGAAAAAAAGTAAAGATTGGGGAAATGTCAACAAGATGCGTATTTTCGGTAATTTTTGTAGAAATATGTATATGCTTTCTCTGTCATATTTACCTTGTGACAGTTTGAAAACCAGAACATTATTGGACACAAAAAATCCCTTCTGAGATTGTACTAATTATATAAGTATTGTCATTTTAATTATTAAAATATTGAGTATAACAATAAGTATTTCAGGGTGGGTAGCTCTTTTAAACAAAATATTAAGCTGAGTTACTGTATATATGGTAAATGTTATCAGTACTTGAGGATCTTTATTTAACAGCAGCAGGATTTAACATCCATCCAGACTCTGACACATTTCCTCTGGTACTCACGTTGTAAACAAACACCCTCCTCCTTTTGTCATCCATTCCCATTGTCAGAGTGTGGAGATGACCTTTTCTCTCCCCTCTCTGCCTATCACCCCTCGCAGCCTTTTCTTTTCCTCCCTTCTCTCTTTCACTGTCGAAGACAAGCTGTTGCTCTGTCCCTGCGGGCCACTCCCTCACTTGTCTGCTCCTCTTTCCTCCCCTCCGCCTCTCCCCTCTCTCCCTTGCTCTCCTCCATTCTCCCTCTCCCCACCTGTTGAAGCAATTGTTGCACAGACCATATTGTTGTCTTCTTATTATTTTATGTCACTCACGAGGGTGCACGCCCCTTTCTACGGCCTTTTTCCTCCCCTCTGTGCCACTCCCTCTCTCCATCTCTGTCCCTGCTGGGTATAAAAGTCAGAGAGGATAGTTGAGGAGTGTTTCTCAACAGAGCACCACAGGAAACCAAAACTACTTCAACAAGGATTTTGTAGCTTCTGTTTGCATGCACAACACCCAGCATCCTCAGGTGACAGAGGGACACTAGCTGCTACCTTTCTTTACCATTTGGACAAGTTCATATTTTACCCAGCAGGCTGTGCAGATGGACAGAGACATGTCTGTGTCTCTGTGGTGTGAGGAGGTGGAGGACGAACAGAGTCAGGTCCAGAGCCAGACTGAGGCACCAGTACAGGGCCACACTGTGGGCTCGTCCCAGCTGCGGGCCGCCTGGGACCCCACTGTGTCTGGACATCGTGTGATCCAGAGGCTGCTTCATGTGGAGGAGAGGTACATGCCCTCCATGCTCTACATCACCCTCATCCAGCGGGATCCAGAGCGCAGGGAGGAGCTCGCCAAATGGGCCCTGGAGGTACAGAACTCTCATACTCCAGTTTCTCCTCATGGTGATGGATGTCATCATGACAGCTGTAATGATGCCTCTCTTCTTTCTCTTCTCTCCAGGTGTGCTGTGAGTGTGGCTGTGATGAGGCAGTGTTCCCCCTGTCTGTCTCTCTGATGGACAGGTTCCTGTCTGCCTCTTTGTCTGTGCCTGTCTCACCATACTGCCTAGCTGCCGGCTGCATCCTCATCGCCTCCAAACTCACAGAGTGCGACAACATCACCGCTGATACTCTGTGTGCTGCAGCTGAATACAGCTTCCAGCCTTCGAACCTACGGGTGAGTCAGTCACGCAGCAGCCACACATGTGGGCAGAAACGTGGTGGTTTAAGACCTTACAGTCAGGGCTGTGATGGAGCCTGAGCAGAGTTTAGGGGGGTTCTCTCCAGCTGTGGGTCCCTAATATCATCACAACATTTCATCCCATTTACAGTGGCATTCAGTGAAAGCTCTCACTCAGTTACTCCCTGATTTTAAATGCATACGAAACATAGTTTACCACCTCTTTATTGTGTTATCATTCCAAAGACGTGTAGCAGCCATACTGTATCAAACTACTGTAAAGACAGAAGAAAACAAACTTTTTTGAAATCATTACTCTCGTAATGTCTCTCTTTATGATTGTGATGCTGTAGCATGTCCATCAACTGGATGACAACCTGCCTAAAGCTTTAGTTTACAATGCAACTGGGCATTTCCTTTAAATTACAGGTTTTTCTACCACTGACTGATCAATCAAATACATTATATTGTAAATTATATCTTATAAAGTGATGACAGATGTCACCACAGTCTAAAAGGATGCACTGGACACTGACGAAACAGTTATGGCTGTAACCAGTGACTCTTTTCATTATAAATTAATCTGACAATTGTTTTTTTTTCAATTAATTGATCATTCCTTTGTACTATTAAAAAGGAAGAAAGAAGTATAAACATTCCAATTACAGCTTCCCAGAGAAAAGGTGACGTCTTCAGATGTCTCGTATTGTCTGACAAAAAGTTCAAAACCCAAAGTTACTCAGTTTACTGTGATATGAAGAGAAGCTGAAACCTGAGAAACTGTATTTCTTCCTAATTTTCAGTGTTAAGAAGGTTACTTTTCTAATTTAATAGGTTACAGATTACAATTTACCCTGTTAAAATATAACAAGATGTTACTATTTTAATGTAACTTATTACATTTGATGACTTTTTAAAATTACATTTCTACAAATCTTTTAAACTTGGCAATAAAGCTGAAAAATGTTTGGAAAAGGCCTATACCAAAAATAAAGAATAAAAAAACAAATAAATAAAAGACATCTCTGCACTCATTTTGATTAATAACTGTAATTTAATCACTTTTTTTTCTCAGTAACTGTAACTGATTACAACTATATTTCTTTTGTAATTTAATTACATGCAACTGGTTATATTACTTAATAAATAGCCTACTGAAAAGATAAATAATTTAGCCCATCAAATTGCTGTCAATCGTCTAATTAATTACTCAACTCATCTCTCAGCTCTAAAAATAGTATAAAAAACATTTTTGATCAACACTTGATACAACAGTCTTTTCTGACTCCTACATGCACCTGTCTTCCCTCCAATAGGAGATGGAGCGTGTCATCCTCGCCACCCTCCGGTGGGACACAGCAGCAGTGACTCCGCAGGACTTCCTCCCACATTTTCTTGCTTCCGTGGAGGAGAGAGGAGACGGAGACAGGCGTGACTCTGAGGAGGGGCTGCTCCCCACCCTCAGGCGGCACAGCGACACGCTGGCCGCCATGTGTGCGTGTGACTCCCGCTTCCTGGGTGCACCTCCGTCACTTGTTGCTGCGGCATCACTGAACTGTGCTCTGCGGGGCCTGAGCAACAAGGGCCCCGCTCAGCTGGCTGTGATGAGTGAGGCACTGGCGGAGCTCTGCCAGGCTGACACGGTGAGTCTCAGGCTGCACATGGGCCTAATTATCTGATTTAATTGTTGGGCAAGGTCATGCGGAATACAGAGAGATGTTTGCATCTGTCACAACTCACATTCATTCACTCTTTGTCTTGCATCCCAGGTTGTGCTGCAGTGCTACAGTGACATGATCGAATACGCCCTCAGACAGCGGCTCAGGAGCGGGCTGCAGCAGGGCCCCACGGAGAAGGATGAAGAGGTGGAGCATGAAAGACCCGGGACACCTACTGACATGAGAGAGATTGATTTCTGAACACTGAATCAACTGTTGCATTGAAAGTGTGAATCAATCAAACCCTTTCATCAAAGTTCATCAGTCAAACTGATATAAATTGATTTTTGACCTCAAGATGCTCTGACATGTTTTTATATTTTGAAATTACTTTACTGAGTGACTGTTAATTTATTTTTTGACTTTATTTATTCGTGAAGAATTGTGCAACTATATGTTTTGCATGTGCCATATTTTAATATCTATTGTTGTTATTTTTATTGCAGGTCTAGATGTATTTTTTGATGCTTAATATTTATACTTTTTTATTTATTATCGCGTGCAATTGTTGGCTCTTATGATGTTAATTTATTTCAACTTGCCATGACTTTGTGTTTGTGTACTGAAATAAATATACAACAGATATATTTTTCAATGCAATTAAACGTTTAAAACGTTTGTACAAACTGCGTCCGTATTTTCCGACTTTTTCTGAGCTTGTGTTACAATGCATTCATAAATACACCCTCAAATGACAGTGACAAGACCTAATGTGTTGGTAGCTGATTTCTCTTTTTAAATAGAGGGCTTTTGGAATATATTGGGCTGAAGTAAGAAGAAAAGAAGAAATATATCTTTGGTGTAAATACGTATGTCCGACAGTACCTGAAGGCAGCATCTTGGACCAGCGCTGCATTCTCATGACGTCAATTTTATCCGACGCGAATACAGATCGTGCTCAGAGCATCGGATCATATATCAAACACATACCTGCGGTAAGAGACGAGCTGTTTAAAGATATTACGTGTAATAACATGTTTTAATTGTGTTTTTAATATCGGCGGTTTAACTGAAGAATTCTTAGAAAATCGTGACATATAAATAGGACAACGTAGGTAGACGACGTATCTAGAGCCAACGGCTAACTGTTAAGGTAACGTTAGCGGTGAATGGATAACCCGAACCTGTTAATATAAACCACGTCACCTGTAAAATTACATTTTAAAAAACGAATGATTTTTAAAATGATGTAAACCCCCAGGCATTAGTTTACTCATGCCTTAAATCTTATCTCACGGCTGAATACGCCTATAGAAAGATATGTTTATGTTGTAAGACCTCCCCTCATCCGAATCCTTGTTTCAAGCTAGTTAACGGAAGCTAACAAGCTACACTACACACACCAGCAATGTCATACACTATTAATATCCAATCGCAAATGTGTTTTTTATCGCACCCCTGGTGTTTTAAACTACATGGTTGCTGTTAATTCTGATCGCAAAAGATGTTTTCCAGCTCAAAATTGACCGTCACGCCAAACTCCATCAAATAAATCCGATATTTTTGTTTCCTCTTGTAGGTAAAGACACACACGTCTCTAAAAATAAAAGCTTTTGTCGTTTTCTAAGTCTCTAAAGTCTCCTGGTAAATTCGGCATATGATAATCACATATCCGTCATACATACATACATGAACAGAATGATCCAGGATCAGGGTTACTACCTGCCCAGGTGTACATTAGACATGAGTCATGTAGTCGCTCGTGACAACTGGAAACACTGACACACCTGTGCAAACAGCAGGCAATGGCAAGAAACCTTATCAGTGTTATAATAATAATAAATACTGGATATAAACAACAAGATTATTCTTAAGCTTTTTATAAGTAAATATAATTTCTTAAGTATGATTACAAAGCAGAATTGGTCACATTCTTCACATGCAAACATGTATAGTCTGTGTAGTCTTTAGATTTTAATAAAAAAGAAATGATCATGTTGAATTTATCAACTTTTAAAGGTCGTCTAAATTCACAGGATTCTGGCAAGTAAAAGATGAATCCAGATACTTTTTGAAAGAAGTTTGGCTTACCTGGCATACAACACATTGCACCAAACACCTATGTCAGCTAATATGAAGGAGAATTGACACTCTACAAGACATTTATCCAGACTTAATGTAATTTCTGACACACCTCTGCCTCTTATTCTTTTCTGTGCTTGCAGAAAAGAAGTTTGCACATAGTGTTTTAACAGTCATTATTGTTTATTTTGAAGGAGGATGAACTTAAAACCTGGCTGGCTGCTGCTTTTGTCCATCTCTGCTGGCGTCTGGTCAGTGCCAATTGATCGCAATGGAGACAACCAGGAACCTAAAGAGGAAGTGCCAGAGGAAAACGGGGTAATGGCCTCAGTAGTCTCAGTCGTACACATTAGTTTGGATTCAGTTTGTTGTGAATAACCTGTCCTTTCTTGCAGGACACTGGCCTTTACTACGACAGGTATCTCAGAGAGGTGATTGAGGTTTTGGAGACAGACCCTCACTTTAGAGAAAAACTGCAAACAGCCAACACAGAGGACATCAAGGTCAGTGCCTATTTTTTCTTGATTCTCACCCACAAAGCTTCCTTGTTTACCTTTTTTTACAGCAGGTAGCAAGAGAATCTGCCATTTGATTCTTCTCACCTGGATATCTTGTGTTCTTCATCAGAATGGTCGTCTCAGTAAAGAGCTGGACCTGGTCAGTCACCATGTGAGGACTCGCCTGGATGAGCTGAAGCGTCAGGAGGTTTCTCGCCTCAGGATGCTGCTCAAGGCTAAACTGGACAGCACCAACACACAGAGTGAGTGGACCCCTTTTCTGTAGACTACTGAGACAGACAGACAGAGAGAGTGTATGTACTGTACTTGTACTTACATACTGTAGATAGATTGTATTAGATTTAATTAAAGATCCCTGGTGGAGATTTAGATGGTTGCTGTAGCAGAGAGAGCAGTTTGTGTACTGTCCACTGCTATACATGTAGTAAGGTGTAATATAAAACGTTAAAAATGCCCAGAAACACAAGTGCCTTTAAGTCTTAATAACAGATAATAAAGAATCAATTTGACCTTAATTAAATGCTCAAATTATATTACATGAAATGGAGTAAAGCAATAATTTTGCAATGAAAAACTTTAACCAGCAAATATCTGTATTTTTATTTAAAAGAATATTAATTTGAAAGATTGAGTCAGTCAATTTTATGTTTCATTAACTAATCAACACTTATATTACTTATGAATTGCCAATAACTGATGATTTCATCAGTGTAAGCATAGATAGATAATCAGAATCCTAATGGACAGTTTGAAATGAAGACACCCGTACAGGTGAAAAAAAAAAATACATTCAAGCATGCAAATATGAAAATAGTGGATGTAGCCAGCATGACGTCACCAATTGGTTTGTTGATTCCAGTTCTGAAGTATCGTTTTGGCATTTTGCCCATTGCCATCTTGTATTTTTGGTGCCAGAAGTGATCATATTTGGATAAGATGGTGGAGCAATGGGGGAGTGAGGAATGGATCTGACTCATGAGCCCTTTTTACGCAGAGATCTCGCAATACTGCCGCAGTGAAGCCCCTTCGTCGTTATGCCGCCTTTGTTTTTTTACACAGAACCAAACAACAAGCATCGTAATGCCACCCCAGAATGTGTTTGTAGACAGCATGCTGCCATTCAGGAAGCAAAAGAGGTCTGATGGGCATGACATGTACCACAACAGCATCAGCCTCTAGAGTGACACACAACATGTGTCGGGTAGCTCTTTCTAAACAATGACAATGGTATAACATTGCTTTATAAATCTCCTGGTGATGGGTCGCATGCATAACATGTCATCAAAACATCACACCTGTCCTGTCGTGCTGGCTCAACTCTCTTTACCCAGACGTCGATTCGGCTCTTTAAGCCATCCCTACGTCCTTGTCATGAGAGATGGAAACAGGTAAAGCTGACCAGCAGGGCTCTGGTGAAACTCATAGGCCAGTCAGCTATGAAGTGGATAAAAACAATTATAGAAACACTGATGAAAAGAAAGAAACCCAATAACTTAGGAGATGAAGAGTCTTCAGGCATACATGCAAAAGAGACATAGACGCATACTGAAAACCACATGGAGAGGGTGCATCAGAATCTTCTGTCTCCTATGCAGCCTACCACATCAGGACCATGTACATAGAAGGAAAGACGACAGTCATCTTAGTTGAGGTAATTCAAGATCTCTGTCCTCGGCTTGTGTGAAACTAGATGGCTCCAGATGGGGAGAGAAGTTAGAAGGTGGTTGATCTCATCTCCTGCTTGGAGGGTTTGGAGCTCCCGGACCTAATAGTCTCCCCACTTTGCAGACATTTTTGGTTGCTGTGCTTTTTCTTTGAGTTAGCTGCTAACTGCTAGTAGCTGCTTTTTAAATCTCTGTCATCAAAACATCACACCCATCCCATCCTGCTGACTCACACACTTTACACAGATGTTGATTTGGCTCTGTTACTATCTCCGCTGCCAGCTTAAAGGTGGAACAACTTTGCCCCCCATTTCGTGTGCATTTTATACAGAACAGTGAGGCGGATTAATGGTGCAACAATCCCGCCCTGGAAAGGTTGTGTAAAGCCTGTGACTTAAAGTGGCCATGCCCTTAATTTTGCAGAACTATAAGCTTTAATAAAATGTAATTGGTTGAGTTGTGTAAAAGTTGACCCTCAGTTGTCATGAATGATGAAATTAGCCACAGAGACCAAACTGTTTTTTTGCACCAGGCTGGTGCAAAGTTGGGAATTTTAACATTGGAGTCTATGGGGACTGACTCGTCATTACTTGTTAGATATACAGGTTAGAACTTGGAGGAATGTAGCCTCCATACAGAGATGCGTTCAGTGTATAAAGGACATAATGGGAGTCACGTGTCAAAAGTCCAGCGTCTGTTTGGTAATTGATGTGTCTGTCGTACAGGCCTGCAGATGGACCACGCCTCCCTGCTGAAGCAGTTTGAACATCTGGATCCCCACAATCAAAACACCTTTGAGGCCAAAGACCTCGAGCTGCTAATCTCCACGGTAAGAGCCTCCAGAGATAATAAAAACTGGATTGTTTTTGACCCCAGAGACTGAAAAATCAGTCAGGGGTTTATATGTTTTGACGAAAGTTTTGATGGAATGTGGGAATGTGATGAATCCCCTCACAGTCCAGCAGAATCAAAGTGACACTGATAAGACTCGAGGGTCCTACAATTACAGGTCAAAACAAGATGGCAGATCTGTCACTGAGTGTTCCAGACACCTAAAATGTTTGCTTTGTATTAAATGTGACCCCACTTTTTGATTTCATGACAACAGTCTCTGTCTGGCTCTTTGTCTCCAGGCCACCAAGGACTTGGAGAACTACGACGCTGAGAGACATGAGGAGTTCAAACGCTACGAGATGCTGAAGGAGCACGAGAGACGGGAGTACCTGAAGGGCCTGGACCAGGAGAAGAGGGAGAAAGAGGAGAAGAGAATGCAGGAGCTGAAGGAGAAACACCGCCAGCACCCCAAAGTCAACGCTCCGGTACGCACAAATGCACCCATTTTGCGTCTTGGTGGAAACAAGTGGAAGTGAAGCTTTCTTAC